GGGGTAAAATTGTGCTATTATGCATAAGTGACGGCATTCCTTATCCTCGCGCATTGTTGATCAACTGTTATGATGGTAAATAAAAATTACACATGACAATCATTGTATAATGGAAATCTAAGGTCAAGCCAAGTGTTTATAATTCAACTGTGATAGGTCAAAAATTGTAGCCCAAGAGATAAAAAAATTAGAAAGCATTGAGAGTGACGAGGAAAACTGGAAGGAAAGAAGGAATAGAAAGAAAGTTCGCACGCTTTTGTCTTCCGCAATTTTACGCAACGCGTTCGCGCTAGATATTAATTTGCATTTTATACACATTACGTGTGCCGCGATACTATCTGCACGCAATTAAATCCCTAGAAAAGGTTAAACAATTATGCGAAAACGTGTCTGGCAAAAATCCCAAAGATCCATTATTAATTAGATCGACCGATAGAAAAAATCTTAATAACAAAATATTGCGAAAAAACATTAGCTTAAGACGAGAAGGATTCATACTCGGGCAGCGACATCAGATCCTCTTTGAGGGGCCATCTTCTTACAAAACGAAACGTTAATAAGTCCCCTCAAAATGTAAATAACTTTAAATGTGACTCCATATACAAATCTCTAATCTCTCACGTCGTAATAACGATGTCTGAAACTAGCAATAAATTCAAAGGTCACCGATTTATGGAATTGCATAATTAATTACTGTCCTCATTCTTACCTGTAAAGAAAGTCTTTCGCCACCATTGTGTACATAAATTTTTCAAATCCTTAATTATATCTTTTTTCAAAATTCCTGACAATCGGCGGTTGACTTTTCGCTTCGGTAATACTCTCGTAACGTATTACAATATGATAACATCAAGAAATGTCGTCCACTTTGATTCTTCTTGTTGATCTTTTTTAAATTGACTTTTTATCTTTTCCTCATTTCAATACTGACCACTTTCACCGCACTAAATAATCCAAGAGTTCCTATCCTACGTTGCTCGTAAATCTCGTCCCGTCACGCTTTGCTTCTCAATCCGTCGCGACGACGGACGTCGTCAACTCCGTTTTCTAATTATTATCACTGGCCCCGGCACGGATATTCCGGTTATGCCGATCTGACCACTCGGACGGTCAACGGTCGACTGTGATTTCCACAGGCATCGGGCGAAACCGCTTCTAATGTCGGCACTGCTTTAACACGAACATTCGGTCACTGGAAATTTTACTATAAAACTCTGTACTCTTTATTTACTTCCTCTTTGCTGACGATACTGACTGTCAATATATGCAATAGCACTCGCTGTCTATTCAATAACATTCCCGACGATTTAGCATTACATCACAATGACAATACTGAATTCAGTTGATTCAAAAAATTCATTGAAGATTTTGTAATGATTTTTCTTGAAGTTTAAGAACTCTTTTCGTTCTTACGTACTATTGTTACTTATTTTTCAAAAAATTGACATTTTACCAACAATATTTTTTCATGATACCATACTGATTACAGTAAACGTTTTATTTTCACAAATGTAGTCAGCACTGCGTACGTATCTTATCTGAAAAACAGAGCTAATGGTATCCTGTTTTATACTCTCTTTACAAATATTCGGTGTTTTATTGACATGTATTAATGTTTCTTATTCATGCATATGAAAATTAATTGATCACGTGTGTTTAATCTGTGGCGTCAATAACGTATGGTGGATGACGTCAACACTTCGGAGAAAATAGGATACAATTGGCATACGTGACTGAATGGTTCTGGGAAAATACGTGGATTTCAAATATCTCACCATTATTATTATTATTATTGTTATTATTCTGGATTCATAACGGGAATGCATATGAGAAGTTCACACGTGATTTAACTTGATTGCTTGAGATTCACGTGACTTCGAATACTGCAGATCTTTATAGCTTCTTTTTGGAAGGTTTAACGGTTATTTTATACTTTTATTTCAGGCATAAGTTAAATGAGTTTTTTTTATCGTCTTGCCAGTTTACGTATGCATGCGTAGAATGCTTATCTTTCTATATCTCGCACGTGTTATACGCGGCCACGCTGTACTATGGAGTAACGGTTATTGCATCAGGACCAACTGAGAAAGCGACTTAATTAATTTCATTGTACTAAAATACAATTAAAATTTTTGTTTAGTTATCAATTTTCTTAGAATAATATATTAGTCTATACTATATACAGTAACGTCTCGAGTGGAACTCGCAAAATTTAGGCGTTTTTTTAAACGGATAATTTCACCCCTTAGCGTACTCGGATTTGGATGCTTAAAAGCGTGTTTTAATCGTTGAAATCTGAGATACAACATGGATAAAAATGAAACTTCTATTTCATCGCTTTCCTAATGAAAAATGGCGGGGAAGATTCGGGTGCACTTGCGAAATCTCGAGATCTTCGTCACGGGATCATCTCCGAGAACAATCATTTTGTGAGAATCTGCAGTATCATTAAAGATGATATCATGCAGAAACTGGACCAGATTGGCCGGCGCGTTCGGAAGTTATGGCCATTTAAGTCTTTTCACTTCAAGGGGGTGTAACTCCCCCTAGAGTGATCCTACAGGGGTTCAATGGGGGTGGTTTTTTAATGCCGAAGGATGCTCTCTCTCGTGCCTTGATTAGAAATATAAATTTCCTTCCGGACCTACTAGATCTCGAATTTTTCAAAAAGTTCCAAAATGCACTTTTTCACTCCAACCCCTGCCATTCGGCCATTTTGTATTCGATCGGGATAAAACCTTTACCATTCGAACGGGAAGGAAATTTCCTAAAAAATATATCTTTGGTTTTTCGAAATCTGTCATACCTTCACAGATATGTACAAAAATTCAAGTGTTGCACTTCAATTGGACGTTACTGTATATTAGTTGTGATCTAATAAATATGTTACGTGTATTAGTGACCTCGTTATGGATCGTTAACGCATAAATTTGATACGTGGAACTGATATTATGTTTTTTTTATATTTATTTTACTGGAACAGGAAAAATTGTATAGTTTAAATTTTTAAATAAATTCATTCACCAGAATGCGTTGTTATGTAGAGCAAATTCAAACGATTAACAGATTAACAATAGAATTTCATTGAAAAATATCAAATCGAGTTAATTAGATTCATTTTCGAGGTCATTCCCTTGTTACGTTACAAATGGATGCTTACCATATCAAACTTTGGAGGAACCAGAGTCAATCATTCGACCGGATATCCGAAAACATTATAATTTTCAGTTTCTCATAGTACTCGTTTAATTGTTCCTGACAAACGTCAATGATTATGGCCACTGAGTCATGGCTAAGGTTAACTCTCTGGACCTTGTCAAGGTTAATTTCCAGTTGACATTAATGACACCATTTTCAATGGGAATTCCGAATTTACATTCTGCTGTCGCCTGAGTAGATACTCCTTGTATACTTAGATGTATGAGGGGTAATCTTTGCACAGGGGCATTTCAATTTGGTGCTATTGTTATGATCATTATGCCTGATCTGCATTGTGTGACGCAACACGACGTATTTCAACGGTGAAATAGTTTGAGGAAAAAAATTATAGTGTGTTTGAATTACTGAAAATGTCCCGTTCTAGAGTTCGCAGATTATAATTCACGTAATTGAAAACAGGTGTTTTATGCTTAATGGTTATATACAGATTCTTGATATAATGGCAATCAATAGAGAATAATAATGAAGTTGAAATATTTTGGTGTGTCGTAAAATTTGTTACGGTCATTCATGCAAATTTTATTTACTCAATAGTTTCTCAGATCCGATAGTTACTCGCTGTTTTTTTCCTCTCAAAGTCGAACTAGGCTACTATACATCATTATAGTGGCCTGCAGTAACGAATTGGCCCTGGAATTCGATATGGATGATCGTGTAACATTGCGAATGAACAATTTAGCATGTGCTAACTTCGAACGCTGTGTACCTTGACAATGGAATGTCACTCTCCATTGTTTATCCATTGTACATAGAGAATGATTTGCTGTAATTTCACACGTGTTGATGTAATTATTCATTTATGGAAACATGATATTAATCTGTCGTTAAAACTGTATTATGTAATCGAATCGCTTGTTTAATGATTTTTGATACAATTTTACATATTAGTATCTTCGGCAAAAAGTTGGTTCAAAGATTAGAATGAAATTAATTTGTACAATACACAATTAGGAAAATTTATTTTGCAAATATGAACTGTACAATAAAACAAGTATGACACAATTTTCTAATCATTTTACACAATTCCGAAATGCATTACGGAACCTTAGTGATCTAACCTGACTATCTTTATTTCAAAAAATACGCACAAACAAGCTATTTGGACAGTCTGTGGGAATTTTACTTAAATAAAAAAAAAGAAATGATATATTTCAATAAAAATTCTACCAGTCCAAGAATACGTGGAATCCCTAATGACACGCGACAAAAAAAGACGAGGATACTGAAAACAAACCTAAAGATGCTTAAGGGACCAACGAGCTAGTTTCGCGTCCTGCCAATTTATTTGTCTCATTAACAAACGTGGCCGAAACTCTCATACGTACACAGAAATCCACAAACTGAAACACACTGTACCATGTACATGCAGAAAGTAGAGACATGGAATTCGCCGAGGACAGCGAAAAAAAAGGAAATAAAAATCCATACATTGGTATCCGCATGCACATGAGCATATATATACATATATACCAATGTGCGTTGCGTAAACGATGGAATTTTGGAGCCACGCATATAACGTGCTACACGTCCTTTCAATTCAGATACCCCGACTCCATGTTTTTATCTATACTAAAGTATCACTCGTTGTGTATCTTAATTTCAGTTTTTTCAATTTAGCTTTTCTTCCTTACTAATTGATCCATTACAGGTATAGAGTATTGTTGGAATAATGATGACGACCGTCCAATTGACGATACGGCAGTCCAGTAGGCAACGGCGTGCTCTCGTCGGGACGGATTCGCATAATTCGCAAATTTATCTCACGCGGATCAACTTCGCGCTTGAAGAATTTCTGGAATCTTGAAGAAAGAGCCCACACGTTACCGTTGTCTCTTTCTACCCACCGTACCTCGGCGGTGAACTGTAACTCTTCAGGACTGTAGGCGATAATTCTGAAACGAAGAAAAAGTCATCGTTAATACAGATCGATGACAGGAGCAAAAGATACAGAAAACGGGAATAAATATTGATTCCGTTCTTATCGTGGAAAATTAGTAATTGACGCTTATATAAAGCCGTCCGTTTCGCATTCAAATGGTCTTGACAGATAATTAATTACTGATTTTATAAAAACTATATGGAAATTCCCATTGCGTTTTAACAGCGTGTTATCATTAACGATCCGTAGCTGATATTTATATCCTGGATTAATCATTAATTATCTTATAATTTGATATATACACACACAACGGTATGTGCACTACAGACTAGATTATGATTTTGCTTCTGAAATCCTTTTAAACTTTTTAGCATGACTTTACAGTCCAACGCTTTAAGATACGTAACGGTATCATGATCATTATAGCAATTTTGTTATTTAGTTTCTGCGATTGACATTAAAATACGTCTATTAGATATCAGCTATTTTACGCTTTCACTTAACATGTCATTTATGTCTGATATATATATAAAGAATTTGTAACAAGCAATTTTACTATTATATATATATATATATGTTACATGATATTTTTTATATAAAATAGTAAAATATTTATATACTTTAATTCCATTTTAGTTATATCATATATTCGTTGTTTCACGGCTTCCGATTATTCTTACCTCTGGTTATTACTCTGCGGTTGCCAGGATGCTATCGCGGTTTCCGTAAGCGGTGCGAATAGAATAGTATCGTCTCGCGGATCGACCGAAAGCCCCACACCCTGGCTGGACTTCCGGCCGACCAAAGTCACCGGAAGCTGCTCTCCAAAAGGTGGTGAGCCTGCCTGAAGAGCGGAAGTGGGCACGCTGAAGAGTCGGTCGGTAGCCAGAGGTTGATAGTACAAGACTCCGAGTCTTGGTGAGAAAGCAAGACCAACGATACCATCGAACAGTTCGAAAGTATCGCCACCGATCTATTTAATAAATGAGTATATTAATTAACAAGTTTTTTTTCAAATTGTTTACTAAATCTCTCACCTGGTACGTCGAATAATCGGGATTTGGCAACATAGATGAGTGACCTACTCTCCAGCTCTTGTCAGTGGCGCCATCGTAAACGACAATGCCTAATTAATAGTAACAATTAATTACACAACTGAGCTCATCTTTAATAATTCATTCTTTCCCGGGTAATTACCGACCTGGTGAAGCAGTATCCGATATGTACACGAAGACGTCATCACAGCTAGTAGCAGAGGTATCGTCGATAATCAAATTAGTCAAAAGACTATTGAGTCTGATAACCTAATAAATGAATAATGATGATAAAGCGTAAAAATTTTATATCAGACAATCATTAATAAAAATTATTTCTATGTCCAAGCTAAAATACCTCTCGTGGAAAATTAATCTGTCGCACCAGCTGATCGGTTTGCAAATCAAAGATGAGTATCTTCGGCGGACAAGGTGTTTGGAAGTCATCAATGGATGTCATGACTCCACTGTCAAGGACCCAAAGTCTATTGCAACGATCCGCCCTTACACGATAGACAGACATAAGACCTGAGCAGTTCAGATCGCCTCTACCAGCCGGATGCCAGCCCCAGGACGGATATGCTTGCAATTGGGGACTACTTCCTAGTGGGACGTCACGCGGGATGTAACTCAGGGTTGCAGGTACACCTGCACGTAGTCTTGGTGTCGCTATGAAGATCCTATGCCAGGCAATCTCAATGCCGGTTGGCACCACGTTCTCAGGTCGAAATTGCTCCAGATAAGTCGGATCATAGGGTAACGCAAAGTCCAAGAGAGGCCATTGAGCTATCGTCTCCAGGACCTCGGCTGATCTTATATTCGGAGACCATAAGGCCACCAGGACCAGGCTCAGGAATATTCTACAGAGATACATACAATATGCATTAGCATATTACGTACATATTTTTTAAGAAACTTGTTAGCCGTAGCGTGACTTATTGGTACTTATTGACTTGGAACAATGGCTGCTTGGTAAGGAGTATTGGAATATAAGTGTAGTAACAAAAGTCTTGTGTATGCTGTCTAATAATTGTGCATTATTGCAAGGTGTTACTACTTACTGATTACGGTAATTATGTGTGTATGGCTGAAGTTAGACTTTTCACGGTGATAAAACTCCAAATTAGTCTAAAAGTTTACCGGCAATAACTACTTACGATAATGCCAAATATGTAAAAGAGGAAGAAAAGAATGTTTTGAAATATTTTAGAAATCTGCTTCATCACGCATATACATATGGGAATAAGTACGTAACTCGGAAAATTTTCGGTTTTTAGATTTCCTACTTGGTTAAAGTGATTTGAATTTTCTTACAGTTGTTTCTCCCTTCTTGAATGCGTATAGGAATGCAGTGATCGAACAATGATGTTTTCTATCTGTGACTATCAGCTATGCAACTGCAGTTCGATTACAAATTGTATATATTGACTCAGCTAGTAATCGCATCGATATACTGCATACGGATCATATGATAGATAGTGTCTTTAAATAAAATAATGAATATTATTTTAATGACTTAATAAATTTATAATAATTATAAATATGAAATTATGTATGCGACAATTTCATTTGATCGTCATATCACTTAAAACCACTATTGATCTTGGTCGTTCCATAAGAATATCATCGATTAATTTTATTGATCGCCATCCTTTGATCGATAAAACGAGTACTCGACCGTCCATGAAAATAGATCAATGATCGTAGACCGTTGAGATGTCAGGTCCTAAGACCGATCCAGTAGAAAAAAATTAAAAGTCGAAGAATTTCATCTCGAGTTTCATACATTAAATCTTTTTTAGGTAATTCAAGTGAAACGAGTAAAAAGGAAGAATTTGACATATGCTAAATCAAAAATTGGCGAATCTTGAAATACTTTATAAAATTTTTAGACAGCGTCCAAGTGATTCCATTGAAAAGTGTACCTTAAGAAAGTCACGTATACCATGTATATATACTTGCGAAACACTCGATTAAACAAATAAATAGGTAAACTCACTTTCGTGCACACATACAATTTTTTTGATAATCGAGGTCAGTCATTTATCCATTTTTCGTCATACATACAATATTAATATAATTCTTTAAAAATAACCACCCACCTCATTTCACTCTTCTTTTTTCTTATCGTCTTGAGTAAAACACAATGGGTCCCCCAAAACGATGGTCAAAAAATCACACACTATCCCGCCCGACCTGATCACTATAGGTAACTTTTAAGAACACTCCTGTAACACCTTATAGACAGAACCTGTGCGTACTCCGACGTGTACCAAGTCCCACTGAGGTCTGCGGGACCTGATCTAATTTCCCTCTGAGTAAAGCAGCGTCGGGGACTTAAGGTCCCCATAGATACATAAGAGACAGGAGACAGGAAAACCTTACCTGTTCTCAATTGGGTTGCGTTTCTGCTCGTATTTCTTGAATGTGTATTTACAATCCACATACATACAGGGTTATTCACAGCAAATGCACCAGCTGAAGTTAGGCACGCGATTCAACAATTCCGTTAATTGAGTCATGGTGACCTTGTTAAGTAAACGAAAGATTGTGAGGCCCATGATATTAATAATGTTAAACATTAACTTTCTTTTTTACATGATCCCATACTGTTCTGATTGATGAAATCAGCTATATGTGACCAATAAGCTGGTGCGGTTGCCGTGAAACACCCTGTATATATAAACTAAGCATATACGCCGATACAAAGTACAGTCAAGAATAGAACCCCACTACACCAATACAACCCCAGGATATACGTAGACTTCCAGAGTACCGGTGTCCCACGACATTAAAACGAAAGGACACACCCACTTCTTGATTGACTATCGAGATACTTTTTATCTACTGCTATTTTTTTCCTACGTCTTTCTCACTGTTTTTGCCGAAAGACAGATATCCTTGATTGTCGCGAGGAAAAGGTACCAGGAATGCCATACGGGATATTGACAATAATTATTTGTAAAATATTGTCTGTTTTTTCTCCCGTTCCCCGATTACGAAATATTTAATTAATTTCTATGGGCAATCGTCTATGGTGCAATTACATAGATAAGACCGAACAGGATTATGCAGATGGTTTTCAAGCCAGAGAATTTCTAATAGGCCCTATGTCGATACTTGCATAAGTCAATGGAAAGTGAATTATCGTGGGCCATAATAACCTTTCGAAAGGGCCGATTATTTTTTTAATAGCAAGGCCAATCTCTGACAAACCAATGTGGGCCGTTGCCATGTAAAATAGTCAGAGAGCTTGAGATAGTGTCTCGAGATAATTGATCGCGGACCAAAAACCAAACGAGTAGGAATTTCGAAACCAGTAGTGACTGGAGTCAACACACGTGTCGACTTTGAGTCAAATCTCGAGTCAACTGGAATCCGTATGACTTAAGGTCACGTCTATGTCTACGTACAGTGGGCCACTTCCTTGATACGTATAGTAGTAAGAAGAAGAAAAAGAAAAAAGTTAAAGACCCGGACGTACAGCCTTGTCGCTTGGTGACTATTGACAATGAATAGACAGAGAAATTATTACGTGCACATTTTACTTAATTTCAATCTACCTGACTACTGCAAATGCATACATACACAGCACGTAGAGTCCAAGTGTACTCGATCGATTCTCTGGTAACTTGAGCGTGTCGTTAACTTCTTTATCGACCGTTCACGCTGGGGTTCACTTGTGAAAAGAATTCATCGAGTCATCGTGACATAACTGAGGAATTAAATCTCTGCTAATGGGATTCAACGTACTGGTGAAATATTTATCATTGTTTTCCAAACAATTAATTATTGGGACTAATGATAACGTCAACGGAGAGCACAGGGTCAACAGGAAGGAAGGACAATGACTTGACGGGATACAACGAAAAGTCATTATAGTTAAAGCTATAGTAAATATATGTATTGCTCTTATAATTTTACTTTTAGTTTATTCGGCTAATTATTCGTGCTCATTAACAATAATGTGTCTTGAAGGTAACGATTTGTTTAGTATTAAGCGAAGGGAAACATTCAGTGATTCTTGCTTAAGTCACGGTGGATATCGCAAGAAATAATTCCCATTCTTAATGCACATGTTTTGTTAAACTACATACGTGTATATTATATACAACATAGTCCATATATTTATTCCGGGCCTTTTAGTAACCGGCCCAACGATCTTGCTACCGTTGGTGAAACTTTGCTCTCAATATCCTTTCCCAGCCTTTACGTGCAAGACCATTGGTATCAGGTAGGCGCGCAAAAATCTTATTAAGAAATTAAAACTTGTCATTATGTATTTTATTGTTAAATCTCTAATTATAGACAGTATACGGAATACAGGGTGTTTCAAAAATTTCAATTTCTTAATACTCAATATACGTATACAAAAAGTTTTGTATTCGTCGTTACATGAAACAATTTTGCATTACGTACACTTTATCTATACATATACATTCAAGGGACCAATTATTTCATTACGTAGCATGTGCTGCTAGAGTTCCTTTCAAATGATAACGTCCAGTACATAATGATACATAACAGAAACTGTACAATAAAGTCCTGTCAGTGTCCTTGGTAAAAGGTCCGCATCAAAGGTCCCCTGAAAGCGTTTAACTGGCTGTGTAATAGATATATAGTCAGTAGATAAAGAGAACCACGCCCGAATCGTATATACATAATTCTCGAACCGACCGAATATACAAGTCGTTAACTCTAAAACTGAATGTGAATCGAGGCTATACGATGTTAGCAATATTGCGAAAGGGATTTGAAAGGGCACTTTCTACGACCAAATACAAAATATTTTGATGGCTGCATAAGTCTGCACATGAACGAGTATTCTCTACTTGCTTCACGAATCCACAGAATGGCATTTCCACTTATTTTATCCGTCGTCTAATTTTCAGGTGAAAGCGCCCGTGACTTTTAGTAGAAACACAAGGATTTCGAATACGTGACTGGATTGCATTAGAATAGAATTTCTCGAATTTTCTATACTGCACTGGATAAAAACTTTATTTTTTTCTTTTTAAATAATAATTTTCAATGTTCACTTTAAAGAAAAAATTTTTTGTCTTCGCTAATTAGTCGCATTTTGTTCGATCACAATGGCACGTACCCCACGTGTTTACAGTTGGATGCATACCTGGATGTGTTACAGCGTGCACTTTCGCAACGGTGCAGCGTTGCACCAGGGACAACGGCTCGAGTTGCTTCCTGGAGCTCAGGCATATCCAACATGCCGAGCGACTCTTACTGGAAACGCTATTCGATTTTGCGTATGTGGATAGGGATGTGGGGGAGTGTAGTTCAATCACCCGATACAAATGGTATTCTATGTGTGATTTAATGCAATTCCTATCGTAGTTCCACCTAAGTTATCTACAAATACAAATTGCATAACGATTCCGTAGAGTTGCTGTACTCCATGCATGCAGATTGCAGAATACTTATATGTATCTAGATAGGCATACGTCTACGCGCGCAGCATGTCCTGCTTGATTTTTTTAGTGAAATTTTCATACGCGTTGTCTGTGAGTTACGTAAAAAAGAAAAAAAATAAATAAAAGAGAAAGGGATTGTAACTAGTCATTGACTACAACGACCACAAGGAAATCGACCCATTTGCAAGGAATGTGGAAGAAATAGCGTGGTCAAGGATACGATTTAAAAGTGAACAATAGAATCATTGTTAAAAGGATTTATTTTTATCGATAATCGATCGTCGCAGCATCTTCCTATCGTCGATAACTATCCTCTTACGTTCTTGACTAGCAGTGTTAGCTCGATAACCAATAATGCGCGTAGATACATTGATAGTTCTGTATATACACCTCGACATTCTGTACATCCCTGCCTCCTGATTTTGGGATTTCTTGAATAATATATTTTTGGCAATACTCTTATGGGTTTCTTATTGGAAATTTTACGGGGTTTCGAGGGAGTGTATTTACAAGAATCAAAAAAAAAATGATTAAACAGTCAACGAGGAAGTTCCTCGGTCCCCCAGATCGATTCTCCGTGATCGTCCCAAGAAAAATTATTCTGGGCACCGCGAAGCGTCGGGTCCAATGATGTTCAGCGATTGATTAGCACCACAGCCAATGGTACCTTGAATGAAGTCTGGGAAGTTGGACTCCAAGATGCGCATCCTGCCTCTCTTGTAGTCAGGAACGACCTGGGTAGCCAGCTGGCATTCGGTACCCTGGTGAACAATCTGGAAGTTCTCAGATTTGAAGCAGGTGGTGGCATCCCATCTGTAGACATCAGATTGTCCTTCGTATCTGAAGAAGATGGCGCTGCCATTGTCTGTTCCCAGGATAACCATCTTCTGGGGCTTGGCACCCAAATCGTGAACCTTGCCAGATGCAGAACCCTTCTGGAGGTATTCGGTACGGATGGAGAACATTCTGGTGCCGCTCAGGTAAGTGAAGATCAAGCAGCTGCTGCCATCGGAGCGTCGGATCAAAGATAGGTAGAGGACATCGCGACGTGGTGCACCCAGGGTGACGGCCTTGGGGAGTACCACTCTGTAACCTCGTCCTGAAGTCACGTCGTATACAAGGATCGCTCTGGTAGCTGCGTCGCTCACGTAGACGAAGACACGGCCATCCGCGCTATAGTCTGCTACGAGGTACTGCAGTCTTGATGCAGCACATACCAGACCACTGAGGTCGACGGTTTTAACGACCTAGTGCGCAAATACATTGGTCAGGATTAATGAAGTTCACGTGCATTTTAATAAAGATGAATTCAGATATAACAAGTTGATGTAATTTACCTTGCCGGTCTTCACGTTTATCGCGACCACCTTGGGTGGGCATCTGCGGATTGGTTCCTCGAGACTGTTCACGACACCGGTGTCCAAGACCCACAGGATTTCCTGGGGATCCAGGTAGACGTCAACTACGCTCTGGAGAGCACTGCAGGTACCTTCCTCTTGCTGGGACCAGCATGGGAAGGGTGTCATGGTCGATTGGCATCCTTTGTTCTTCAGAGATAATTTGGCAAGGGTGGCTGGGACTCCGGCCTTGTATCTGAATGAAAATTAATGATTAATAATAATATTTTATTAGTTGACTATTTATTAAGAAATAATACAGTACCAAGTATGTATGTATTTAAATACCTGGGTAATGCCACTATGGCGTCATCCTTGTAGATGGCTGCCCTGGTAGCTATTACGTTCTTCGATACGTAGCGACCACTGCTCTTAAAGATGCTCTTCGTGGTGGAGCACGGCCATTCAAATGAACCGCCAGTCCATTGAATGGCTGACGTCCCAGCTACGCAGACGACGGCGACGACCGCCAGAAACCTGAACATTTTTATGTATCGAAAATACTACTAGCTGCTCTATACGTCAGTGCCCGTCACTTTTTTGACTTTTTTTTTCCTTTTAGAAAATCCTTTTTGGCACTGCGGAAAATTTATTTCACGAGTCCGACACCGTTCGGTGATGCAGACTGAGCCTCCTCAGTGTTACGCCATTTATATACACTTTCGATGATATACATATTGACACCAGCTAATTGCGAAATGTTTTCCAAAACAAAATTCATAACCCAAAAAGAAATACGCTCCGGAATTTCTTCGCGATTCTCTTAAGGTTGGACGAAGCATATACCTATACTTCAGGCCTTCGATAGAGTCATTCAAATTATTAATAAATCGACGAACTCATTGTAAAATGGTTTATCGTAGAACGGTGTTGTGTATGTTATTCAAGTATTATTTTCTTTTCTTCCTTCTGTGCGCCAAATTTTATTTTGTAAAATGATTCACGTTAAACAGGAAGGAAAGAGTCTTCCTTTTGCGCAACGACACGCTACGTCGACTTCCTCTCCCTTGCATTTCCTGTTTGCACGAAATGTTTTCGTACGACAGTAAAAACGTAAGGTGAATCTGAATAATTGAGTTCCTGTTAAAATGATTATTGCACAATTCTTATATTTATAACAGCCTGTTACTTTTTCTTCGGACCACCTTGATTTTTTCATATTCATTAATAATGAACATTCCGAAGAAATTAAAAAATGAAAGAAATCCATTTATATTGTAATTAATTATTTTTCGTCGTGTTTTACAGTGGCACCGAGCTAACGCTTAACGCTACCCAGCCCGTGCGTGTTCCGGATTATTCGCGCAGTCGTTGCAAAAAAAAACGTCACCCTGTCGAGGACGTCACGCAAGACTCGAAAAGTCATAGGCAGGCAGATACCCATGAAATAAGTATAACGCGAAAAGTTATTGGGCCGAGCGATGTCGTAAAGAGACGCACAAGAAGAAGCAACAAAATGAGAAAAAGGAATAACAGCAACAACAAACAAATGCTGCGTTAAAACAATATGACGTGAACGTCCCCACTCAGCTATATATATAATGGCCACGAAAGAAGTTCTCATGTACTTTGCTCGTCCGTTTCCAGTCACAATATACCGTGAGTTCAATTACAGACCATCATACACACATTTGTCTAATCAATTTTAATATTAAACCAAAACGACGCTGAACCGTCTTTCCTCTGTTTTTCTCAAACAATAATCAACGTATGATAATTGTGAAACACTGAGACTGATCTTAATTAATAATTGTGATATCCGTTTTACAGTGCAGGATGATGGGGTTCCTGACGAGCGCTCTCTGCGCCGTCGCCTTGGCAACCGTCGCCAGTGCCGCTTCCTGCGACCGCCAATTGCTCCCTGAACTCTCCTACACGCTATCCGGACAAAATTTGAATTGGCCGTGCCAGAGCACGAGGAACATCTACGAGTCCAGCGGTCGTTACATTCCAAGGAATGTCATTGCTACCAGGACTCAGATATTCAAGGATCAGGCCATCGTAGCTATGCCAAGGTACAAGTCCGGAGTACCGATCACCCTGGGTATCATGTCCCTGAAGTCGAAGGGATGTGGCCCCGCTGCCCTGACACCTTTCCCCTGCTGGTCACTCCAAGAGGAAGGTAACTGCAACGCTATCCAAAGCGCTGTCGACATCTTCCTGGACGTTCAGGACATCCTCTGGATATTGGATGCTGGTGTCGTCAACACCCTTGAGCAACCTGTGCGACGTTGCCCACCTAAGGTTGTAGCCGTGAACGTCAAGACTGGCAAGGTACGTTGATTGTTTATGCGATATTTTCATAATTTTATTTTATTCAGAAGTAAAAAAATAATATTGTATATCGCTTACAGGTCGTCAAGGTCGTCGACCTCAGCAGCCTCGTCAGCTCAGCCTCCAGACTTCAGTATCTCGTTGTGGATTATGCCAATGATGGTCAACTGTACTTGTACATATCAGATGCTGCCAACAGAGGCATTCTTGTTTATGACGTCACGGCTGGACGCGGATACCGTGTCGTTCTACCCAAAGCCGTCACTCTCGGCTGTCCACGTAGGGACGTCCTTTACATTGCTCTGGTCAGGAAGCAGTGCGGTGCCTCTGTCCTCTACTTCACTTACCTCAGCTCCAGCAGACTATTCAGTATCAAGACTGTCAACCTCAGAAGGGGATCTGCCAGTGGTTCCGTTGTTGATGTTGGTCCTAAGCAAAACAAGATTGTTCTCTTGGGTACTGACAATGGTAGCGCCATCTTCTTCAGGAATAAGGGTGAGTTTGCTTGGTTGTACTTAACAATTCAATAGGTTTTTTTTATACTATCCCTTGATGACTCACATTTTTTCAAATCGGTCATAAAACATACGATACCTTGTAACAAGTTCACCTATCAAGAATTTGTAGGTTAGGTCATTCCTTTTTGAATGACTAGTATTTCTTGAGATGTTTTATTAACGTTTTTTTTTTTCAGGACAATCTGATATTTATATGTGGAATACCGATACATCCTTCAAAACCGACAACTTCTTGCTCGTCCAGAAGGGCAATGAGTGCCGCCTGGCCACCCAGGTACTTCCTGGTTACAAGAGACTGATGTGGGTAATCGAGAGCAACTTCCATGATTACATTCAGAACAAGATCAGCTGTGCCGGAGCATCGGTGTCCCTTCACCCCTTGGTGAAGTCCTGCGAGGATTAATTAGCACAGTTTATCGAGAAACCGGCGAATTCCTAGGCTCTTGTCAACTCTGTTTTAATCGAAGTCCCTAGCAATCATAGTTATAAACGCGTCTTGAAAGGAAAAGAAAGGCAAAAGGCAAAAAGAACTACAATCCTATCGAAACATTAATCCGCATTAACGTTTTAATAGCCACCAAAATTTTAACTGCACCAGATATGGTACTAGTATTATTCAATTTTTGCTTACTTTTCTTTCCTAAATTTATTCTATTCAAAATTTCTTTACTTTATTATCAATCGTGTTATGCCGAATCGCGCTATTCTAGTCAAACGACAATTACACTTCGCCCATTCGAATACTGTAATTTGTATTTTCAAAAATTCATCCCTCGTGGGAAACAGAATAACTGGACTCACCTTTACAAATACATATAGGTATACGTATTACATTATAAACGAGAGAAAAATGTCAGATAGCGCGTTTCACGCGTTAGGAATTCCCGAAACTGTCGAAGATACGTTGCATGGAAAAGTAATATAAGTGAAAACAGCAAGAGGAAAAGGGAAAGATAAACTTTCCCCGATGGACAAGTATGACCAGTGTTCCCGATCGAGACCGGAAGAAAAAAGAAAATAGAAAAATTGTAAATTGTAGAAGAAGTAATTGGACACACGCGCATGTCTGTGAGATGGCGCCACTGGGGTGCTGCAAGGTGTCTGCAAGCCCATCCAGTAATAAATGCGTGAATAAATGAATTCGTTATCGAAATTCAAGCAGTTTCTTTTACATACCTCTCTCGTGAATCTTTTCACTTAAACTTTTTCTATCTATTAAACCTTAATAATTCCTAACAGTTTCTCACAACGTTTCGGAACTGTCCAAAATTTCAAATTCATCGCATACTTGTTTATCTGTTTATTCAAATTCGCTGTATAATACATTAACAATATATATGTATACACTATACTACAAGCTGTCGGACTTTCACTTGATTCACTACTACTTATATTGCTCCAATTTCACGAATCTCCCACGCCAGCTGTTCGACAATGCCCTTGCGCAAACCGCAAGATATCGGATCCATTAAACAGAGCTCAACAGTCTGACACTTCTGCCAATTTCGGGAGGTATACTGCAATATTGTGGTAGTAACTTCTTTTTATCTTTCACTTCAACAAAATGAGTTTGTGATTTAATACCTTTTTCTTTCTCGAAATGCCCCAGAGACTGAGACAGTTTAAATAACATCCAGGTCAACGTCAAATACAAAAATGAAATAAAAAAGACTAACCATTTATTCAATACATTAAAATGCGATTACAGTGCGAATCGATTGTACTTGTAAACCTTAACTGTTCTAAATGGCAAACTGACATTATGCGAACGTCCAAGCTTCGAAAGGTTATGTTTCTTCGTGCCATCTGGATGGCGAGAGTTTACTAGACCCCAAAGGTTTCTCTGAGAATCCATTACATAGTCGGTAATACAGGGTACGTCTTCTCGCTGTAAAAGAACAGCATGGTTCTCGGCCTGAAGAACAAAAGAATCGTATTGTAATATTCTGTTTCAATATTAACCAATGATCATTACTAAAGAGTCTTGTGTGCAGAATCATCGAGGGTTCGAAAAAAGTCAGTGTTTCTTAATGCCACTCAGTTACAATTACTTTCAATAAATTTAATTACTTTCAAATTCTGCTTGCCATCCCAGCGTACACTGGCTCGTTCCGTCACTATGAAATAATGTAAACCGCCTTTATAATCAGCAAACAGACCCAACGATGATCCCAATTTGGTCCCCAACCAGGATACTGTAGTATTTTGACTGGCCAGCTGTGTAGGTAAAGTAGAACTCGTTTACATTGTTTAAATATTTCATAACGTCATTTTCTTGAAGTACACAAGTATACTGACATCTTTAAGAACAGCTGGTGGTCCTTCGTCCTCTCGTGACTCGTCCAGATTTACGCTGAACAAATCCTGAGATGGATATCCTGTCAAATATAGTAAAGAGGATTTTCTTGATATGGCCAAATCGGTACTATATATTTTTGGTACATTACTACCACGGACAAGACGCAATCTCCACCATCTGCGTTGTCCTAAAATTAATCAAGGATTTATAACCCAATATTTCGTTAATAAAATCAATTAATAATAGATATAAAAAATTGTACCTAGACTGTACACAATTATTGACTCGTCGTCAGGATCTCCGATATAGGCCCTCGAGCCCCAAGTACTTACTACAGGATCTACTACAAGACTCCGTAAATACTTGGTTGAAACTCCCGTGAATTCACATCTCGTTATCTAAGGGCAAATATAAATGTGAAATTAATTGAACGCGTTAGCTATGACCTATGTTTATCATGAGTCTTGTAAAACTAAATGGCAGTAGCCACCTATATATTATACGTAACAGTTAAGGAATTGGCTATTACATCATATCGCATTAACGGCCTTCTTAGAGCTGGTGATATTAATTGCTTAATTTGACGCGTGCTTGAGTATACGCCTTTGTAAACATCAATTTTGCCGCGAGTGCCAAATGCTAAGTTCTGCGTCGTTGTGCAATAAATTCAAGTTGCACAAGAACGTTGAAAAGAGTTTTAAGTGGCTCTATTAATATAATATAGAAATTAGAATATCAAGATGAGAAAATATGAAAAGAGGAAAATAATAAGTAAACAATTAGGTATTATTATAGTGCTCTAGTCATTTTTTAAAATTACCTCTTGATCATTTCTACGCAAATCGTACAGAATGATTTTTGCTGGACAGTCATTATCCTGTGGTGCATCCAGGACCCACAGTCGACCTCGCGGATCCGTATCGACGGCCACGACGCTTTGCAAATTTGCACAAGTTTTTCGAGCATTCTGAGAATCCAAATTTGGAAATGATGATAGTACCGTTGACGATAATCCAATTTGATAATTACCAACTTCTGGCCAGGGAGCTTCGATTAATGTCAATTCGGCATTTAGATTCTGCTGCCACCTTTTGAGAGTGTCAATTTTCAATCATTTTCTCTATATAAAAATTTATCTGCCTCAAAGATCTTATTTAAACCTCAAACTCTACCTAGGAGTATGAAACTCCTCAGACGTTCCTTTTTCATATGAGTACTGAAATATAGGCAGGGTTTAATGGTTAAATACCTGGGTATAGCCAAGAAAGCTCTATTCCTCCACAATGCGAATCTCCATGCAAGCGTGTCTTCTGGTAAATTCACAGAGGTGAAATTCCACGATTTCACGTACGGCAGTAGCAATAAAAACCTTAAAATCGAACACTTAAGCCACTTGGTAGCTGGAGAGTAACATACAACCATATTGAAGGACAGTTGACAGACTTCAAACTTGTTTGAGACAGCTAGTAATTACGTGTGCTAATAATAAGTAACAGCTGAATCAGCAAAATTCTCCTATTAGAATATCACGTATGATTCCAAAGTGCAATCCTAATCGTTTTACCTACCCAGACTCTCGTACGCAAAAATACACCACACGATGAAAACAGATTCGGCATGTTTTTCAAATTGAAAAGATAATTTCTGCAAGCTATAGTTTCTAAGTAATAATTCATTAGAAAGCACGTAAGTAATTTTATAGAATGCATTAAAAACCTGATTTAAAATCTTTGCGTTTAGTTTTCATTTAGTTTCTCTAAGTATTCATGTAACACTATACATCCTGTACCATGTATCACGTATGCGGTTTGTAATGTATACTGTTTATTTTCGAAATTTTTATCTTTACAATACGCTTCATTCGAATAAATTAAAATAAACAATTTTGACTATTCCTACTTTTATAAGTGGTAATAGAAAGGACGATTAATATTTATAAAAAAAAATAGAGGTGTGCATAAAACGCAAAAGAAATATTTCCATCGGATAAACCTATTAACACGCAATAATATAAACGTGTACATCAATAAAATATTATAGCTAAATAAATAATATAGCAAGTAGTAGCTATGATGTAATTCGATAATGATCCTAATGATTGTATGGTGTACTATATATATTATTATATAACATCCGCTTAGACATTTAATAATACATATAAAATGTTAAATATTTTAAATGGATGAGATTATCTCCTTTCGTTCTTCCTCTTTCATTTTATCCTTAAAGATTGACCGTGATTGAATCAATAAAAATACTACTCTTTCAAACTCTAATTAGTACGTTGTATTAATTAGAAAGTGATTATGTGATCTGGTCATTTAAGTTATGATTAATGTTTAAAAGGGTTTGATTTGTTGTATCCGGTTGCAATAAATCATTAAGCATGTAATTAAACGTCCACAGCTACGCACTGTGCGGTAATCAAATTATTTTCATGTAAATATAGCAAGGATGTATATTGACTATCACTAGAGAGTAACCGCAGAACAACTAGGAAACCATAAGGAGCATTTGAGAAATAATTTTTTAGGCATGGGAAACATACATTTTTATCTTTTTAATGAATGGTTGAATAACCTGCGAGGCATAGGACTAGGTAACTAAGAAATTTCGCTCGTCCCCAATATTACTTCATGAGCATACATTTCCTTGCTGACCCAGAAGGTGCATAAGATTTCTGCCAATCGAAAACATACTTACGTTAAAAAATGTGTACCTCAGTGGATAATTGTTTCTACACTTACTATCGTCGATAATGTCTAACAATGTATTTCATTCTATAGTTTGCATATTCAGTCAAGATGTCGCTACTGCCGAAAGTTATACCATAATGGCGGATTCGTCGTGGAATCGTGGAAGCCTAAAGAAAAGGCAAATGGCCGCCGTGGGGCTCGAAAGCGTTAACGAGTTCCTGGTAGTGTCTTTTGAGTGCGCGACTTTCGGTTCGGTATGTAAGAGAAACGCGATAATCTCCTCGAGAAAGAGAAGTGGATTAGATTCGGGTGTGGCGTGATGTAAGGGCACGTGGGTTCATGTCCTTGGTCCATTGGTGTTGCCGTGGTAGGCGATGAGCCTCAAGAAGTGCACTACGGTGATGAAATCAGTGTCAGAAGGAGAGCTGGGCGTGGAAGAGGTTAAACCTTTGAAGGAAATTATAAGTATAGCGAAAACGGCGGTTACAGGGTCCACCAACTTCACTACGACTACGACGACAAACATTCAGGATTGCCCTAAGCTTAAGCGTACCTTTACCTTACCGAAAAATCCTTTTCAAAGTGCTACAACGAGAATGTCACGTCGGCGTCCTAAGCATCGTGACTCAAAGGAGTCTACTAGAAATAATGCACAGGCTGTCGAACAGAACCTCAGTCAGGATACACAAGGGAACCAGGGTACTGGTAGATTGAATACAAATGGCTATCAAGACAGGACTGCTAATAAAAAAGTGTTTAGAAGACCATCCTGGAAGAAGTTTATCAATAAAATGGTACAGCACATGTCTAGCGTTGGAGTGCAAAATCATAAGACAGTCAGGGATGATCATCTGGGATCTAGTGCAAATGATATTAGAGTACCTCCACCTAGACCTGCTCATATCCCACCAGATAGAGTCCCAGGTGTTATTGGATTAAGAAATCATGGCAACACATGTTTCATGAATGCTGTACTACAGTGTCTATCACATACAGACATATTAGCTGAATATTTTGTACTGGATCAGTACAAGGTGGACCTTTCCAGGAGGAACAAGCTCAACTCCAAGAAGTATGGTACCAAAGGAGAGATTACAGAACAGCTTGCACTGTTACTCAAGGCAATTTGGAGCTGTCAATATGATCCTGAGATGAGCACAGCATTCAAGAGTGTCGTAGACAAATACGGTAGTCAGTATAGAGGCAATCTACAACATGATGCACAGGAGTTTCTACTGTGGCTTTTGGATAAGGTGCACGAGGACCTTAATCAGGCAACGAAGAAAAAATATAAAATTATTAAGGTTAGTCCAATCATACATTGTCATTTCATCAAATCAAATAACCTTTTTCTGAACTCTCCCCAGGCCTCCATCCTCACTATGCAATATGCCTACATATTCCCTAGCCAAGAATTTCAAGAGTCTAAGAACTATTATGCAATAATGTCAGGCACTCGACCTCTCTGCTACTAGCACCTCAAAATGATGCGCGCTACCGCTTTCGAGTGACTTAAATCCCAGAAATAATACCAAACAAATGTATAACTATAATTTTACTTAAAATTACATGTTTTTCATACGCGAATGAGACAGATAGAACGAGAAACCTTGAAACAACTTATTTATCACAATCAGAACCGCGCCAGTTTCTCGAGAGGGGCAACAAACGAGCGCAAGACCTTAACCTAAATTTTGTACCGCGTTCGAGGAAAAAAGAAGAAAATGAAAGAAGGTATACACTGGCCTTCATCGAGTGAACATTCCCTGCGCACATACGATATTACTACACTTAAAATTTCCAGTTCTTTCATACGAATGCCTTTCTATCGCTACTTTCTACGGTAGTAATAACCATGAAAATAGTTGGTGTATGTTCCACACTGGAAAGAAACCAGTAGACTAGCGGTATAGACCTACATTAGCTTAAAGTGATAATTAAATAAAAATAGAGAGAGGGAGAGAGAGAAGAAACACCTTTCTTAAGCTTTCTCGTTACTTAAAACTTCCACATACTATGTAGGTACATAGAAATTATATGTTACATGCGCTTTCTCAACATACGGTAGACTATCGGAACGAGTGATGCAATGAAACGAGGGAGAATGACTTCGTCGATGGTGTATGATTCATTGTGCAAGCACAAAAACAGTAAAAGACGTAAAGAAAGAGAGAAAAAGAAAAAAGTAAAAAAAAAAGAGAGAAGCAATGAAGCAACGCTCGAGACAGACGACTAGGAATGCGAGACTGGCGAGTCGAGAGAATGTCATCAATCAGCACAAGCATCCAACGCATACTTCACCATCGTCATCTTCATCATCGCCGTCTCCTACTTCAGAGTATCATTATCACTGTACTCAGCGTTATTATCTACATCGTAATCGTAGTCAACCGCGGTTGCTGATTCTTAAAGCAAACTTTGACTACTCGCGTTACACTATTGCACTCGTATTAAATTTCTATATATAAAAAACTCATACACATACGTGCATACGGATACAAAAGTATATAGTTACACTCGCAATCTAATCGCAGTATTTATCCTCGGATAACTAGAGAATTTGTCGGGATTGCGATAACGCCCTAAAACCCTCTCGGATATTTATCGTTACGTCTTTATCCCAGTCCGTATAATATATGTATATGTATATTTGGGCAGTGCATATACTTATATATTTGTACGTAGCATTGCGGATTCCAAGAAAACAAGCACGTGTCCCAGTTCAATGTGAATAGTAAATCCCAGTGGATTACGTCGATGTCTTTTAAACAAATCTTTTTTGTTCCAAGCACAAAAGAATCAATAACCAAAGTACAATTGTTTAAAAGAATCTTTCATGCTACAAATTCTCTATTGTGATAGTCCTTTTATTTATGCATGTATACTCTTTCCTTTTCCTCTCATTCCCGTCCTGCGAATCATACTTATTAGTCAGTTTATTGCGTAAGCCCATGGACTTCCAAGTGAACCTTACCATGACCGTTCTTTAAGAAGGAGCAGACCGCGCTGAATGCGTTATTGTTTCTCTCTCGCTCGTTTTCTTTCATCCTTCTCTCGCTCTCTCAGCTAACGTTGCACCTCATTGTTTTCACGCCGTGAAAACAAAGTGACCTTCGCTCGCGTTCTTAACAGCTCGTAGGGTCATTTCGTTTTAATAATCCGTGAACGTAATTCCCTGGAATTCATTTATTCCCGTCGCAGTACCTTTTTTATGCTTTGCATAAGACTAACCACCGTATAATATATTACATTGTGTATACACAAAAGCTTATATGCACGTACGTGCACATATGTCCATTATAAAATTTATCTTCTGTCCTTTCGTGTTTACGACAGTTCTATCACAAGTTTATATTATTAGAATATGCTTCTACTTTTTACTACCGTACAGCCTTATGCCTGCACACCTCTATGCATTGCATATAAGTATATACATGTCCACATGCATCGAACGTGTACAATCTGGAAGTCTGTAGCATAACCAACGCACCGGTGCAAACGTACTCGGATGACATTGACCGATTGCTCGACGCCATTAAAACCTACTTCAGTATTACTGTTGCTGCTGTTATACATGTATCCACATAACGTTCTGATGTTGTGTAATATAAATTTGTGATAGTTCCCTGAATTTTTTTTCAGGATAAAGAAACTTCGAATGCTAGTGATTTGTAATAAAATAGGTTAGGACCTCGATTCGTGCATATTATATATATGTAGGCGTATAATATCTTATTAAAAGAAACCCAACGTATCGCGATGGTTAACCTCGAAGAATGTCTATGTCTGCTCTGCTGGAAGCTCTTATATTTTGTATTACCCGCAGAACTCGAGGTATCGTTTTGCGTCATTAACGAAAGCAAATAATGAACATCAGTGTCCTCTGCTGATTATAAAAATAGAATGGGAACGTGTCGATGTACGCGCGTATGTACAGGAATAGTTTGCTGTGCGTTAATGGCTTCTGGTTAGAATGAGTTAGGAATTTGTTTGGTTATGAGTTTACCAGGGTTTGATTGTTACAACGTCGATAAATCGATCAGTGGATTTATCGTGTCAAGAGCAAATAGCTACGTATGTGACCGCGAAGATCGTCGTTCGTATCCACTAATATGACCTCGGCGTGGCTCAGTGACGTGCCTGTTGACAAACACAAAATCTGGGTCTAGGGTGCTCCAGCGGAAGATTCATTTGTTTGTTCCGTAACCCTCAAGGTTTTGTCACTTTATTTTATTTATTTTAATACACGTGTCGAGGGCGCGTCTTATTGCCAGAAATAGGTTTTCCTGCAGGGTGTATCATGTCGTCTGGACAGCCATGAGAGGGCGAATTCTTAGCGAGCTACTTAATAAAATATGTCGAGGGTATAATAGCTCTCGAGATGGTGCGGGAGTTTTTGAAAAAAAAAAATTGAAAAAATTCCATTGCTAACATTCTTTTAGGGTACAGAAATTGTATTTCGAATAATACAATTTTTTTAAGTTTTAGGCGATCTGAGTATCGCTAAACGACGCGTGGGACGTCATAAGTTAATAATAGTGCTTAGATTAAATAGCTATTAGAGAACAAATAAGAGATCCGCGTAACTTTAAAAAAGTTCAGTTGACTTTTAACTCTGTCGCCTTGAACATCATTAGACCCCTCACACCCATACTTGAATATTTTTTAACTCATTCTCACACGAAAAATTGAATCCCTTAAAGGATATCCGCATTACGTGGTATATCCTGTATTTAGACACAGAGGGTTCTCCTTGAAGTAAAACGACAAGGGAACGAAGATAGGAAACGCCCATCTGAAAATAGAGGCGGAAGTACATCTGTGAACAATTTATCCTTAGAGCGGAAGAGATTATATTGTCTGTTACTTTTTGCTCTTTCAGAACTCATTTGGCAGACCTGATGACATCGTCGCCGCGGAGACCCTGGCTAATCACGTCAGGTGCAACAATTCCTTTGTCCACGCGGTCTTCCAGGCGCAGTTCAGATCAAGCTTGACCTGCCCCAGATGTCACAGACAATCGAATACCTTCGATCCCTTCCTGTGTGTCTCCGTACCGGTACCGCAGCATCATAGACAGATCAATCTATTTGTAAACGTTCTGTACACGTCGCAGCAGCCACGTCAGGTGAGGATTGGCGTGAGCGTCAATCAGGCCGCCAACGTGAAGGAACTCCGCGAGATCCTAGCCAGTGACACCGGTATCGAGGAAAATCACATGCTCCTTACTGAAGTTCATGACGAAGGTTTTCACAGGTTAGTCATTTTACATACTGTTGTTTTACTGCTACACATGATTTATTATCGGTGGAGTTGATTCACAGTCATGGCCAGTTGAACGATAATTAAATTTTTACTGTTTTTCTTTCAGAACCTTCTCCGACTGCCAGCCTCTCTCGGTTATTACTGAAAACGATCCTCTTTACTGCATAGAACTGCCACAACTCAAAGAACCCACCGAGCAAGCCTACATACTTCTCGTATGGATTAATGTCCTGGTTAAGGGCGAACTCAGGGAACGCTTTGGTAGTCCTTACACGATGCAGGTGTCGCGTGAAACCTCCTACGAGGATCTACAGAAGCTCTTACTAAAGGAAATGCACACGACTCTTGCGGATGACGTCTTGACCTCAAGTCAGAGTCCTGGATTGTTCATTATTCGCGTAGCTGATCCTGCAGCGACTCCTGCTCAGGATGAGCATCCATGCATCGATCCCTGCGTTGAGCATCCTCTGTACACTGAACAGATAGAGCAAGCTCTGGCACTCTGTGCTGATGATTCCGGGCCGCAACACGTTAAGCTTATCCTGGAATGGGACGAAGCCACCAAGGCTAGTATCATCCAGGATGACAGCGATCAAATAGAGGAACACGCAAGTGTCAAACAGCTTAAAACGAATTCTGAACTGAGCGGATCCGTCACCCTGGAAGAGTGTTTTGATCTTTACACCAGAGCGGAGATCCTTGGCGCTGAGGACGCCTGGCACTGTCCTTACTGTAACAGGAAACAGGAAGTTGTCAAGAAGCTTGGACTCTGGTCACTTCCGGATATTCTTGTTATCCACCTTAAGAGATTCCGGCAGCAGTCCAAACAGAGATCCACGTCAAAACTCACCACCCTGGTGGACTTTCCGCTCTATGGATTTGATATGACACCACACCTGGCGCACAGTAGTGTACAAACGCACAACAACATGGCTACTTTAGGTGGGTTAGGGTGGTCACCCTGGAAGAAACCGCGACCACGCCAGCAGAATATACCGAAATACGATGAGAACGTTTACGACCTGTACGCCATATGCAATCATCATGGACAAGATCTCCAGGGTGGACATTATACTGCATTCTGTAGAAATCCTTACGACACCCAATGGTATTGCTTCGATGATACTCGTGTAGAAGCCGTCACGGACACTAATCTTATTACAAACGCGGCTTATATGCTCTTCTATCAACGCAGAGGACTGACAAATAACTCCACCGGAAATTCATCAGCGGCGTCAACGAGTTCTGCGGGTTCCGGATTGGATCACTGGGTCTCGAGGATGCCACCGTTTTATTTCAATAATAAAAACAACATTAACGCGACCAACAACAAACAGAGCAAGTCTCAAGAGGTTCTATGCCAGGACAAGATCGTCGAGGAGAAGAATCTTAATAACTTCAATCGTGGATGCCGCAACTACGCTACGCTTCAGCCTAACAAGAGGAACGTAGCCACGGAAACGGAAACTGGAGAAATAGATCATTACTCCGACGACGAGGCGCCATCTCGAAGAGAATGGGTATACATCCTTTCCTAACTACTATTAATCTTGTTATATTATACCTAAACTAACTTTGATTTATATGTTAAGGCATCACCAAAACCCGTGAGGAAGACATCATCCATCACCCTGACACCACATCAACCACCAGCAATCATTCACAATTCAAGTAGTGATCCCGACACTGCCGTAATCCACGAGTCGACATTGTAACACACAATTTAAGCCGGATTGAAAATCCGGCTTGAGCACCAGATCCTTTATATTAGAGTGCCTCCGACAAAGATCCTGAACATCCTGGCCGTTAATCGAGAAAACAATCTCCACCGTTAGCTATACCGATTCTCAAGAGAGAAAAAAAGTGAAACTGTAAGGTTAGTCTTCTCGGGCACCAGGATGCAGTTCAGGATGTTAAAAGTCGACGAGAACAATAATGGGTCTCAAAGAACAATGCGTTTTCGTTTCGCAGATCAGAATTTACAAGCGTTTTTGAAAAAAAGGCAAAGATCGTGAGGTGCCTGTCATTTTAAAACTAAACCTCGGTGACATAACCTCAAAAGCTAGCGACTTCTTCGTACTTGTGTATATTCCTGTTTCTACAGTGATCGTACTCGTAAGACTCCCACAGGAATAAAGGAAGCAGGAGAGTTCACTCATATCTCCTACCATTTAGTTAGGAGTTACACGGTTTTGTTACGAGCCAATTAATTGCAGATGACGTGTTGTCCAAGCGAGATGAAGACGTCGGTTTCACTCATTCAGTTAAAACGAAAAACGGGATATTATGTTAATCATGCGAATCTCATTATTAGTGAAAATTATATTAAAATCGCTGCTTAAATCGTCAATCTGCGCTTGATTGGCTCGGCGTAACGAACATTTGTAGATGTAATATTTATATCGTATTTGTATCACCCACTAGTGGCCTTATCTCAATAATTAATACTGATACATCAATATTCATCCTGATACAATGTCGTATGTATACTAATTAACTTGGAGCATTTTAATACAGTGTACCATTTATTCGGGATATTGCCGATGTGTTTGAATAGTGCATGTGCGATGCGTGAGAATAGTCACTGTTTTTTTTCAGTGACTTACAGAGATGCTTTAACTGCATATGTCATTAGATCTGTACTCATAAACTCTTTTCGTAACTTTTCGGTTCCAAGGGAGAGAAAGTAACAAAAGACTTTGCAGATAATAGATAATCCCACTATATACTTCCATGTAAGAAAAATTAATAGTATTGTTCGTCCGTTCTTCCACTTTTTAAAACGAGACAAAAATCACCATCATCATCTTAGATTCTTCGTCGATTTTCATTTTTTCATTAGCTTCGGCCACTTTGTCGACATGACTATTCTCACGTGATTACAATGAATGGCTCAGTGATTGAATCTTTTAATGAATTTTCTTTTTCATATTATATTGCGTAGCATATTATATTCTCCCAGTTTTAAATTGAATCATTCCAGACGGGCGGGAATAGCGAGAGAGAGAGAGAGAGAGAGCTTGTGAAGTTTAAAAAATAAAATGGAGCGCGAACGTGACGAAAGAAAGACGCGTGATGAGAGTATGATAGAGATTTATATATATATTATATTTACGTATGACGAGGGCGAGCAAGAGAATATTTAAGTTATTTTAAAAGTAACATTTATTACTAGTCACACACATCGTGGACAGGGAGACTTTGAAAAAACAGCCAGCAAGTGAAAAGAAAACGAGAAAGAAAAATTAAATTACATTAGAGTACGAAGGTAATGGGAATGAAGAATAGGAAAATGTATACCGATATATGAGAGTGAAAGATAGAAAAGAGGATAAACGTGAGAAAAACCAGGCCAATTCACTACCTACCATCTAACCATAATTGAATTCTTTATTATAGCTGATCTACCTGCGCTAATCGACTGAAGGATATCATTGATTATTATTAACATTACTATTAGTTCACCCTGCTATCGTTTTGTTGAATAAATAGAGGATGTATATAGAACGTCGCATATCAGTAATGTTTCTATTATTCTATTTGTCATCCACCACATTGTTTCAAGACTCTTCTGTCTAGTACTCTGTCATGAAATAGATATTCTGATTCGTCTTATAATGTCCAGTTCAGAATAGCCATTTACCGTTCTTTCTGGAGCTTCAATTAAACCTGAAAACATCTGGAAAAGCAATCGATCCGTTGCAAAGAGCGAAGAGTGAAAAAAAGGCTGCACGGTATAAAAGAACATTTTGTAAGAGAAGAAAAAAAAGTAAGGAGGAGAGAGACAAGCCACTAGTCCGACTTGAAAAATACTTATCTTTAGTAAGTATATGTATATATTACGTATAATTCTCGTATGCTGTGATGTATATGCAATCTTATGTGACAGAGGGGATGCACATTGGCGCATGCGCAGTAGTAATCATAAGATCCCCACCATTTGTACAGGCTCAGTATGAGCGGGGTCGTGGACGGTGTAGGTTGTGTGTGTTGTGTTGTCATGTCCGAGTGTTCGGATTTCTCACTGAAATACAAGGTAGGACACATCAGCCATTTCTCATAATTCCTTCAAATATTTTTGTACAAATTTACCTATAAAATTATCACTAGAAATGCATCGTTTGCAAACACAAAAGACGCGCATCTCGTGGCGCCTGTCAAGTTCCTAACTGAAAGAAAAATGGCCTTGCCCAATCCAACCCTACGACTCTCGTACTCCATTCCTGACAGTATGAAATTATACTGTTCTTCAAATCAATTTATATCATATGTAATCTCAGACGACATTTAAGACTAGCTACTCTACACAGGAGTCTCGTGTCGCGAACAAGGCAGCGCCTCTTATTCCGTTTTCATTAGTAAAAATATACATGGTGGCGCCTCGACGCCACCTTCCTTCGTGTGTACTACTGCACGGGATCGATACACACGGTGCACACACTACGGGGTTTATACTCTTCTCCATCTCGTATATAGATTCATTTCTGTCTACGTACCTACGTGACTGTCGCTACAAGAATCTTAGAGCTGAATAACAACCCCCGGACGCACTTTAAAGTTTACACGGAAGCGGCCCCATGCGGGCGCCGCTATGATGATGATGAACATGATCCTTTGGTAGTGTAGGACTATACTGTACGTACTACATCTATATACAGATAGACTCTATGGAATATTTGTATAGAGTACTTATACTATACATAAAATTCTAGGGTGGACTTTCCACACCCTTCACGCTATTAAAACGTAATATTTTCAATGCAAATTTCACACGAGACACTATACAGCCTATGATGTAAATACAGTACGTGTACGATGCTAAGTATATTGTTATCATTTTCTATATTTTATGATAAAGGCATAGATAAGTATTATAAATGCAAAAAATATTAACAATATAAAATGTATCTTGACATTGCACATTCTGAATGGTGCGAGATAATACTTTTTCTTATCGTGAATTTTATTGTAATCAATAAAGCGGTTTTAACTTGTCCCTGTTATCGCGCAAATAAATTATCATTAATTGCACGTGTTTCGTTCAAACAGAATTTCATATAATCCTGATAACAGTGCCCGTTTTTGAGTTTTTGACAGAATTTGCAATATGACTCGGTACGATAAGCATGTTTGGAATCGCGTGCTGCAATCTTTGTCTCTGAAGTAATATTTAATAATATAATACTAGCACCATTCGGAGCCTCTCATTAAATCAAACGGAAGTGCATTGAATTGGCAAATGGAGCGTATTCTTATTTTCCTGTTCGCTTACATGCAACTCGCCTCATTGGCATGCAATGATGCATCGCGCAAACGACTCGCACTTTAATTATTTATTCGCCGTGCAAGGTGAGCGAGAAACATGCCTTTTAGCTTTGCGCATCTCGTGAAATACTTGTGAGGCCGGTTGATCTTTAACAGAAGTATTATCAGATGTAAGTGGCTATCGTGTCTCTTGAGGAGGGGTTAACTACGTAAATGAATAACGCATATGCAAACCGGCTGTGTAAGCTTATGCAGTTATACATTTTCTTCGTAAGTAATTATTGCTGTCGCATACAAATTTGACTGATATAAAACATATCTTAAGCTTGGTATATATTGTTCGTAGCTTCATTTGAATCGTAAAATTTGTCCTTTTCACGTTTAGTCGTTATTCTCCTTTGATGCAGGATCAAGAGCCTCTGGCGAATGATCGATCCCTTCTTCATTCAAAGATTTTCGAAATTATACGACGGTGGGCCCTAAGGGCCTTATCACGGCCGATAGAATAAGACTGAACGAGGAAGGAAGGGACAGATAAAGAGAGAAAGAGAGAGAGAGAGAGAGTGGTCCTTGCGCAATCGTAAACACAGAAGAAGTGCATTTGTGTGCGCGTATGTCTGTAAACCGAAGCATGTGTGAAGAAAGTATGTGGAAGTGCCGGCGGGTAGGACTTTGTGAAATCTCAGCACGAGAATGTAGGAGAGAGAGAGAGAGAGAGTGAGAATGAGTGAGAAAGAGCGAAGGGAATGAAGAGGCTCCTTTGTGTTTCATAGGGAGGATGAGAGTATTTCATGAATATTATTTCCGTTTTTTTCGTAAGAACGTGCACAAGCACGCGCACGCAGAATATAAAGACTTCTAGACTTCTATTTAGAAGTTCAAAAATGCCCGAGATGCGCTGGAGTTACGCAATTCAGGAATTCTTGCGGGAAAACTTTATTTAAAAAATTTTTTTTGAAACTATTTCAATTACCACTGCCTCCCGGCCTACTTTTTTGTTCATTGTTCTCGCGAAATTACGAACGTGCGGCGCGTCCCTACGTTACCGACCGCGCACACAGGTATCTAACCGACAATTGGGGCCGAATTACGTTTGTTTGTCCTGCTTGCTTTTGTCCTCAGTTATCTCCTCGTTTTTAATGATGCGCTTTCGTTTCTACGAATTTTTTTCATTCACGTAAACCATCCAGGATGTTTAATCCTCTGCTGCTGTTTGACCCAGTGCTCGTTGACGAGAGGAGAAAAAGAAAAGGAAAAAGCAGTAAAATCCTTCAGGCACACATCTGGACGTCACGTTTTCTCAACCGTCGAATACCTAAACACACACTTTAATCGGTCCTGGAAGGATGTTACAGGAGCCAATGGACTCTAGTATATTGTATATTCATATAGGCGGTTGTATATACATATATACGTATGAAGGTACGGGAAGGTAGTGGGATCCTTCTAAATTGCCTACGTAAGGGGAACGGCCATCTGCTCGGTATTATCCTTGCAAACCCACGCCGAAGGAGACAGTATACTTACCTACTATATTTCACTCTCCTAGTCCTGTTTATACATACCGTTTCTTTGCACAGGAAAAGGACTCCCTTCGCGTAAGCTTCATGCTCAGCAGTGTATACTGTACGAATAAAAATTTATATCCGAGAAATGGAAATTGAAAAGCTCCAATCCCAAATCCTTTCCGATTCATGCTGTCTTCGTTTCTCAATGAAAGCCTCTGCGATATCGAAGTGGCGAATTTTAATTCATACCACGACGTAGGGATACTGTCCAGGCCGGACGAGGCACATTGGAATACTAGTCCAAAGCTTCAGGAAAGGGACGACGAAGCAACAACTTCCGTCGATCGATTCGTGGCCTCGCGTTTAACTCCCCTCGGCGTTGAGCTTGTGGGTGTGGGTCTGGGTCTGGGGTTCCTGGGGGCTTCGGGGCTTCCTTTATGCCACGCCTTCCTTATACCTTGCCTTGCTGCGTTTACTATATCGCGTCCCCTTAGGGTCCCCCCTGTCCCTCCCCTCAGTGACTTGGTACTTTCGACCTAACCGAAATTATTTTGGCAATCTAACTTTCCGTCGCTGTTACTCACGATTATGTTAGATTAGTTTTAGCACTGACATTATTACGGGGCTGCAGAATTCAAATCGCCGTTGGGTTAGGTTAGGTTAGATTTCAGTGTTATAGACGTTCCCTCTAGGTTCGATATTTCCTTGATACTTTTTCCTTCGTACTTGCCGCCGTGAGATTACACCCCATAAATATAGATTGGGAACGACTATACCCGTGACAAATGGTCGACAATGGCCCTTTGTACTATTCCCCATAGTACCAGGGAACGCGTGTCCATACGTGAGATTGTAAATGGCGACGTGTGACTTTTCAGCAGTGATCGAGTATACGCACATTTATTCTTATGACTCTTTTAGTTGGCGACCCAACAGTGGGTATGACTTGTGACAGTCACATATCAGGGATTTTTCTCGCCTGTATATCCCACGTATGTTTACGTACAGCTTATTGTGAACGCGGCACTTCCTTCGCTCTATGGGTTATGGGAAACGCTCGATATACGCATACCACATCGCTCTACAGAGAAACGGTGCTAATCCAAAGCCAGCTTTATCGACGCAGCCTTAAATTCGGTTTACATTCTAAGCAAGACACGAGTCCTCTGACAGCCCTTTTTCTCTTTCATCTTAGCCTCGTACTTCCTTTCCTCCGTTTCGTCTTTGCTTTTCTATCGTTGCAGTTTGTTTCGATTTACTCCTAATGGTCTTTTCCGTTCGACCATATCCTGCATAGCCGTTGCTACCGACATGCTTATTGTTGCTTCTCGGAAGAGCTCTTAAACGGACGTAAACCGGGCCAACCGAGGAGATTGGACAAAAAATCTATAAAAAGGAAAAACGTGACACATTAACGCCATTGGGCGGTGTGTAAGCGTGTAGCTTAGTGCCTGTCGTGGTCCCGGAGCCATTTTGAGGCCCTTGGGGATCTCGTGTATTAACGAGGTTACTACGCTGGCTTCAGTTCAGTCACACTTCCTGTACCCGTTGCGGTTTACCCGTACGCTTTCGGAATCACGAGAAAATGTGGAAAAACAAGGGTCAATGGGATATCAGCAGATGGAGATGAGTCAAACTGTGGGACTGGTCGTTTTCAATTTTTAAAATTGCCTAAACCTAACGGCTATACACACGTGTACGATACATCGAGTCCAAGCTCTCTCTGGTGTTCATTCGCTTCATGGTATTTCTCTTGCCAAGTATAGAATAAAAAGAAAAAGGTCTGGTGGTGTACGCGATAGTGGCCGAGATAGAAACGGAAGGGAAAATAATAATGATGAAAGGGAGATACTCTCTGCTCAGCTAGAGTGCACCGAATCCGTGAGGTCTACGGTGCATTTGACGATTTCGAGATGTGAGCTCTGCTATAGGTTTTCACGTTAAAAAGCTTCAAAAGCTATTCTACTCGGTATACATAAGATTATATGACGGCGCGAGCTAAACATTTTAGTTTGGAACGTAGCTGGAGTTTTCCCGGAAGGATATTTGGAATTGAGGAAATATTGGGGCTTCGACGCTAGCTAAACTAGTGGGTTCGCTTCGTTACTTATTTATGTGCACGGTAGGTCTTTTATTTTCTTCTACTCTGTATAATATCCTTATCGCTAGCGATCCCTGAACTTTGTACGTTCGTCGTGAGGAGTCAACGAAATTACCTCATAGTGCTAAAGTCAAATGACGCCTCCCAAAAGGGACAATAACGTGATTTGGAGCTGGTCAAGTAAATTGCGTCTCGTTCGAGGCTAAAACGTTCCGCGATTACGACAGATACTGGTTAATAATTTTATTATCAGGGACAGAACTTACGTGGAAACATTGATCGTCTTCGTGGAGTTGATGAGGTCAAAATTTAAATTTCATTTAACGCGTTAAAATAAAGATTACGTCAATTAGTCTTAACTATGTGTCTCCTGACCTTGTTTTCCTCTCATGTATTTTACTCTCCACTTATTTCTACGCCTTGTCACTGTGTTGTTTCTACTCTCATTGAGCCACCGTGAAACCAGAGTCTCCCGGTTGTGATTTCATTACTTAAGCTCGATTCTACCGAGATCTCAGAGAGTCTGACTTATATAATAATTCAATTCAGCATCCGGTGTCCCGACGCCTTGTTGTCTTTACGTAATAAAGACTAATTCATCTACCGTAACAGCTACGCCAGTTTCCTTCTCTTTTTATTGTTTCTTTTTTTCGGTCTCCTTTTTTTATATTTTTCTCCCACGTAACTACGTTCCGCTTTACATTAACGAATAACTGGGCCACTGACTAGCGTGGTAATTGCAATTCCATGGAATAAAATAGAATTTCAAAATATCGACAATGCATTGCCTACTCCTCATAATATGAAATCTATATGCGTTTCCACGCGCACGTGTAGGAATTCATATTGGAGTGGAATATATATGTATAGTATGTATACCATGTAATCTAGTATATATTTACTATCTACTTTTTTCGTTAGGACATTGTGTAATATAGAATAAGCTTATCTTACCGTTTTACCAAGTCGTATAAATGCATTATCAGTTTGGGCAATTGGAATGAAGATATTTGTCTTTATCTTTCTAGCTGTAGCATGTCTTGACAAGTGAGAGAGGACTTTCGGGTGTTTCGGCAGACAAGGGTTGTTGTTCTCGAAAATGGCAGGCAGTCATCAGGAGCAGTACACGGTGCCGCAACTCGCCCGGGTCTTCCACAGCCTGCCACACCTAAACGTCTCTCTTCATTCGGTTAACAACACCTTCAACCTACACTCCGAAATCTATCTCGAGGTTTGTATCAGATAGTCTAAATATGTAGAATATGGCACGTCTGTTTCGTGAAAGAGTTACCGGTACAATTGAATTGCAAGAGTTCGTGGTACAATTGATTTACCTAGGCCCCGTGGCTGAACCACTGTGACCCAATTTGACATTGAGTGCGAGCTGCACAGTGAGTAACGATCATTAGACTACGTATTGAGAGATCAGCTTCGTCGGGATCTCTCGAGCGAATTTACCTTAGGGGAATAAACGCTCTGCTTCGAGTTCGTTGCACTGGAAATTTCCTTGTTTTCGAAATGCACACATAAAGTGCACCGGAGCCGGCAGTAAGACCCTTTAGAAAGACTACATCCGGTATCCGTAAGAGATTAAAGCTCGTTGCCTGGGGAGATTCGTATATCTGATCTCACCAGTATTTGACTTGGAAACGACAATAATGAAGAATTTCTGCTTCTCTTGAACTCACAGAGTCTAGGTATCTTGGGAAGCATCCCTGCGGCATGGCTGATCCTCACGCTGCTGGTGCTTTTGGTATATCTCGTGACGAGATGCTGCGACCGGAAACCGCGACCGAGAAGATCCATTGCCCTGCTTAAATGTTCTTTGGCCGTTTTGGCACTACTGTGCTGCGGCGCTGTCGCTGTTGGTCTATATGGTAACGACGACGTTCACAACGGCCTCGTGCAGCTGGTAGAAGCTGCCAAGCAAGTCGAAAGCATCATCAAGAATGTAAGGAATCAGACTGATATCATCGAAGCTACCTTGAAGGAAAAGGTCCAGCCCGATTTGACTGCTCTTAGAGATGCGTTCGATGACTATACCACTAACAAGACTATGCTGATTGTACTTCTGGCTGCGCTCGAGAACATGAAGCAGAATAATAGTATTGCAGTTAACAGGAGCTTCGAGATCAGACGACCTCTTAGTGGGATTAGTCTTGCCGGTGCCATAGAAATGGGCGAGAAGATTGAACAGCTTCGATGGCCTATAACGATGGCTGTTCTCAGTGCTCTTCTGGTACTCTGCGTGGTTCTGCTGGTCGGAGTCGCGCGACATTCGAGATGCGCTTTGATCACGTGAGTTTTTGCGAATTTTCTGGTTGTATGATTAGAGGGTGCATTTCGAGATGCGCATCAGGAAGGCTGAGTAAACCCTTTGTTTTGTTGACTGTCAGGTTCTCTGTGTTTGGCCTCTTCGCGGTTATTGTTTCCTGGTTGATGGCCTCCCTCTATCTGGCAACTTCTGTGGCTCTTGGAGACCTTTGTGTCTCTCCGGATGGTTATCTCACCAGGGCTGTACCATCTACACTGGCCTCCGAGGTGCTCTCTTACTACATCCATTGTGAGACCACACGGAACAATCCATTTACCCAGATACTGCGCGAAGGACATCGCGCCACGTCTAGTATGCGTACAAATTTGAATATCGTGACACGATTATCCGTGGAACTCTTCAAGGATCAGCAGCTTCAACCCAAACTGAGTAGTTTACTGACCGATGTCAGCAATGTTGATAGATTTATGTCAGCACTTAGCGCTCTTCTCGACTGCAAGCCGCTCCACAAGCATTACGTTCACGCTGCCAAGAGTCTGTGCCATCTAGGATTGTAAGTTGTGAGACATATATGTATTTTGATTTTGTTTTCTTAATCTGGACCAATATTTAATGCTTACCTTGTATTCAGGTACGGGTTGACTTTTATGCTGTTGGCGAGTCTTGCTGCTGGCCTATTCTTTACGGTTCTCGTATGGGTCGATTCCCATACGTGGATTTACATTAGAAAACGGTAAAAATCCAATGAAAATATGTATGAAAAGAAAGGTCTAAAAATAGAATAGTCCAAATCTATATGCTGTGTCGTTTGTTTCAGAAGAGACTACCACCAAGTGAACGAGCAAGATCCATTCCTGCCACCGTCGGCGGCATCTCAGGCGATAGCGGCTAGGACTCTTCGAGGCCAAGGGTCGTACCCGCCTACAGCCCCCCCTCTTAATCCGAATGTTCATGGCACTCATAATACCATTAAGCAGCCCCTACTGTTAACGCCGCCTCCGCCATCTTATGCTACTGCGACCGCTCGAGCACGTCAGCTGCACGAGAGCATGTTAAAGTTTGTGCATGAACCTTATTTATCCATTTTACTTTTAATTTATAATCAAGAAACATTTTATTTCTTTTAAATACAGTAAATTGCTCGACCCAATATACCAAAGCATAATAATGAGGGTAATGAAATTTGTTTCCTTCAAATAATTATTGTGATAGTGCTGTGACTCATGGGAATGCCGCCCGAGACGGTCGTACTATCCTGAATGTGGCTTTTGATGTTTGATTAGATGCCGAAGACTTTAATGATAAGTTAGGCTAGTCCCCATAAATTTCGTCGTTTAGTTGTTGATTGTCAATTACCACACGTAAATAATGAATTATGGCAAGAGAGATGCTGCAACTTTGCCCGTTTGATTTTGACGTTTACAGAGGTGGGGGTGTTAACGGAGGAGGAGGAGTTGGGGATCACAAATCGGCTCAGCATAATCAGCAGTCGGCGAGTGGACGAGCTGAGCACCGTTCTGGGCTCGGAGATCAACCTGGCCAGTACGCGACTCTGAGCAAGCAGTGCAAAACCCTTGAATCTAGTGACTTTTACTGAGGGCACGCCCCCTCGGGTCCCGGTAGGAAATTTATCCAGAAATAAGACTGAATTAATTTCCCTAGAGTATACGATAGTGAGGAATACTATATATATCCTTTGTATATTGCAGGTAGGGAGCCACCCTGGACACCAAGTGTGGCCTCCTTTACTGGCACCCTATCAAATAATTCTCATGGACCGGCGCATCTGGCCACCTTCCAGGATTCGAGGAAGACTCAAACCCTGGATCCGAAGAACCTGGCAAATCTTAAGAGAGGCCCTACACCAGCTTGGAATCAAAATCGGCCGTTACCGCCAAATCCGACGAGTCAACCTACGTGGGAATTCGAGTCTCGTTCTCAGACTAATATGAATCAATTCCGGTCTCTCGTCAGGAACAAGGCACCTAATATTCGTATACAAGATCAGATGCAAGATCAGGTTAGGACTCTGGATAGAAATTTTACGCGAGGCCAATTTAACGGTACCGGACAGAATAACGCGGTACCTAATATGTATGGAACCTATAATAGGGCCCAGGCTAGACAAGAAAAGCCTGTAGTCGCCACCCTCGGTCAAGTACAGGGTAGCGATCCTAACCTCTACGCTGTAACCGAGCTTTAGAGGGTGATCGATTAACCTGAATTTGAATCCGAAGGTACCGGTCACATCGATTAGATCATGCGAGAATAAATCGAGTAAATGAGGAGGGGGCACACAAATCTCGGACGAAATAAAGTTGAGGTGCTAGATTGACAAAGGGGAGAAATATATAAGCTGAAACGGTGCGCACGCAATTCAGTCAGTCGCGTGCCGTCGAGGAGGAAGACTTACGTGTATAAAAGTGACAAGTTTGTGATGAGTGAACGTATTTCGGATCCCCGTTTCTATTCTTACTGAAGGGACATGGCGAATCGTCGAGTGGTAAATACCAAAAGACACTTTTTTATATATCTTTTACAGTACACATAAACATAAAGATAGATAGATAAATAGACATATATATAAATATATAAATAATATATATTTGTATATTTATATATATAACGAGAAAAATCCTTATAGAGGTATTCAACAATATTTCTTTTTCTGTCGCGGGGATGTAAACGATTCGTACGTAGGTAACGAGATAAATCGCGTATTCGATATTTAATCGAAATAATAGTTGCGATTATGCTGCGACTGATTGTCGTAGCTGCGAGGAGAAGTAAAGAGAAAATGACCGTCGTTGATTAATAATACAAGTCTTATTTGACTACGTGAGACATCAACGAGGTTATTATTATAAATATAAATATATATTTCGAAGGATAAATAATTCGGTTCACGGATAACTGCCAATACTCAGGCGTAATACACGTTTTAAGTACAAAATGGAAAAAAATATGCGACAAAAAGTGGGGTAACTCCTCGAAATAGAAAAAGCAACACACGCAGTTCCGCGTTTGCGCGGTTTTTCGATTCATTTTTCTTCTTGTTTTTTATACAAAAACACTACGTACACAAAACGAAAAAAAAAATGTAAACAAATTACATTCAATTCTAAAGCGCATTAAAGACACTGTAGAACCAAAAAGGAGAGGTAAATGATAAAGGCAACAACGATAAAACAAAGGAAACAACAACACAAAATCGTAAGTGAATAATGCTGCTTTTTCATTGCTCACGAATTTAAAACTAAGCGAGTGCGTAGTAAACGTGTGTCTGGTGCGCATGCGCAGCGTAAGAACGAACATGAGAAAAAGCAAAGACATTTACCCGTTAAAAGTGGCGCAGACGGGGTCGATGAAAATTACGATCTTCATGCCGATGAAGTTTAATCTTTAAACGCCACCCCATAATAAATATAATATATATTATAAGTATACGTTAAGGTTCGATCAGCGACTTTTTCTTCGTTTCCACGTAACACAGTGTGAGAATCCCGGAAGCGAAGATGAAACCGTAGATAACGATGTAAACGGCCAAAACGCGTATTTATATGTGCATTTTTTTTACCCTTAATTAATGAAACTATGATTTTCCCTTTGCAACGAACCGAACGAAGAGAGTGGAAGATAACTCCGAGATAAAAGAAACCAAAATATATATATAAACTAGCTCCGGGATGACTCTACACTTTAGTGTATTCGAATCGTGCTCGCTAATTTTCCCACTACTTTGTATATATTTAATATAGTACGATTTAACGGTAATTGAGTAAACGTGTAAAGTGTGATACTTTTAATCTAAATGTTGATCGACTTTAAGATTGCGCAATTGAATATAGGTATACATGAAGAGGAGTATAGATAGTGATATCCCGTATTTCATGTTCAATATTTTTTTTTTTTTCGTTAAATGAATTTGTTTAGAAACTTTACACTCGTAGATCTCAAGTAAAAGTAAAAACTAAGATAATTCCGCAAATATGACTGCCATTCCCATAATGCATTTACTTGGTTCTCCGTCCTGTTTCGAAATCGTGACTTTTTTTGTTTCATGATAACATCATGTAATCGAATGATGGACGAACTTTTAAGGTAATTTTAATCACTCGAAGGCGTTTTATGATTGTGAAGGATTTGTTGCTTGCTTTTCTCAGTCGGTCACACATCTGTATATACTTGTAATATTTATTGTGTAATGAGAAACAGGGCAAGAGAGAGGCGAGAAGACACATACAATAAAATGAATGTGGCAATTAAATAGGGACAGTTTAACGAGCTACTGAGCGAATACGAAAAAGGAAATATAACAAACAAGAACTATATAAGTATAAATTAACTACACGAGCGCTAGCTTTGCACGTGAGGGGAGTCTTCTTCGTTTAAGTTTCTTTGTCTTCTTGTATCTTGAGAGAATTAGAAACGAACCCTCGAAGTCCCTGTAAAGAAAGGACGGTGTGCCCTTAGTTGGGCAAAGAAATGCGAGAAAATAGTAAATCCAAAGGGGGGATCATTACGAGAGAAAACACTAGTGTCCTAGTCAGTAAATAACGTTATGTACTCTTGTGTCTAAAAAGAAATTGTATAAGCGCGAAGGTGAATAACGAGAAGTAGAGCGGGAGAGTGTGCAGGGAGAGGAGAGGGAGTTTGAAAAATAGGTAATTGAAGAGAAGAATGGGCATAGATAGATAGGAAAAGTAAAGAAAGGGGTGTGATGGGGGATAAATAAACACAAAAGAATAATTAGCAGATACACGCGAGGGTGACAAATAGGAAATAATGAAGGGAATGTCTTCTTGCCAAATTCATGATTAATAAAAAGTGGCTCAATATACGGATACATAAATATATATATATAATGTATACACGATGATTCTATGTATGTACATGATTAATCATTTCGGCATCGAATTTCTCCGTTTGTTTTTATTCCTCTATTCATACTCGACCAGTAAGATCTGGAGCTCCCATTGACTCCATCATTTTTTTTTCTTGTATTTCCCTGTTGCTCATTTCGGGTCAGCGTTTGCAAACAAAACTGGGAGATTTCACTGAGAACACCATTTTTGAATCATTCTATTAAAATTTATTGATCGTCGAAATCATAGTGCACAACGTCTCGGGCATCACTTTTGTTTACAGATGTCTAAATAATGTATCGTTTCAGATACGTATAAGAGACTTTTGACAGATAACGAATTTTTTCGTTTCTGATACGATTTTATTTATATCTATCACAGTATACCAAAGTGCAGTATGTACGCATGATACTTTTTTTTTGGTATACTCTGATAAATGAATATGTCACGTGATTGCCAAAAAATCGATTTTCATCGGTCGACACTGAAGACACGTGAGTTTGAATTCAATTTTCGCGCCTTGCACTGTCGCGAAATGATGACGATATTAAAAGAGAAGGATAAGCCAATAATGCGGTAAATCGCACGAATAAGGAGATGAAAAATCTTACAAGAATAATAAACACACGGGATCAATAACAGTATTCTGTCGTATGTTGTACTCGTGTCAGGTGTACGAAATTGTACAAGAATCGCATTAAAGATAATATGACGTACCGCCAGCAGCCAGTTTATCCACTGTCCGACACACATATTGTATTATCTGTACGTTTTAAAGACCACCCTTTTAATATATCAATATATACACTGTACACGTAAAAGGCCATGCAAATCCCATGAGCCGCTCAGTACCACTGTGACACTCACGATTCGTAGAGAAGTTATCACTAGTTAGCCGAAAAGACAGCGTGATGAGTGTACGGTGAAGTTATATGTATAATAATGATAGAAAATGAACGAAACTGTGTGTCGTACCACGACGTAATAGGAATGTTCTTAATCATTGTTAAATTCTAATGAGACACAAGCGAATAATGCATACCTAGAATTTCTTAGTTGGATGGTTGTTGGAGTGAGAAATTTCGAATTTTAATAGTTTCTCAATTTGTAAACTTATTTATATAAATAGAAAAGTGAACCTGGGACATGCGACGATTAAACCCCCGCCATCTTCTCTTAATAACGTATAAGTACTAGAACGATTCTTCTTTTTGCACGTGATCTTTATATGAATGTCAGTGAAAGTGCGAGAAATTTGATTTGAGTATTGATTTCTTTTTAGTTCTTTCCCTTTTCTTGCTTCTATTTAATTTCCCTGTATTCTTGTGATTTTTGTACGAGTACCCAATGAGCGATAAACATATGTACCGAATGTTCTGCTAGCACTAGTTCCTAAGTTTCTTTTGGATCAGCTGTTGATCCTGAAGCATTTGGCCTATAGAATATTCGCTCTAACGGCAATAGGTCTGATTATAGTGGTATACATTTTCGCTGTGGTACCTGTCAATTTTTTAATTTTCACCTTTATCCTTTAGAGAACATCCACTCCCTTCCTACGAGCGCAAGAGTGTGGAAATGAGTGCGTGATGAATAACGAGAGAAAGACATGAGATTTATTTACAAAAGTGCGTAGAGGCTAAACCGAAAAGCTATGGATATGTATGTAAGTTAAGAATTTCTAAGACCTTTTTGTATGCGTGACGTGCGTTAAGCTTTAAGTCCCTAGAAGTGAATATGATGGAATATTATTTGAAAATTATACATCAATTATTATTATAAACGAATAAGAGATGAGAGACGAGGCGAGATAATGATGAGGATGAGACGGTGAAGAGGGCGAAAAGAAAAAAGAATTTCTGTCCTTTTCATCGATAATTAATTTCTATCGAATTACGATCGTGCATGATCGACGTACTCCAGACTTTATTCCTCCTATTATAATGGTACACGAAATATTATGAAAAAGAGAAATAAAGGTATTAATAATGGTTGTCTTTTTTCTTGTGCACTTACGTATAATAAAATTTGGTATGTTCAACTTGAATAACCCTGTAAGTTTCTTATAAATTATCTAGTCTTTTCGTTGGAAGTTTGATAGGTAGAATCTTATCAGGCACAATAAGGAGATGTATCCTTTCTCTTTTTTATTCGGTAGCAATACTTTATTACAACAGTTCGGTACATAAATATACATACGAGCTTAATTTACCTTACTCTTAGGTTCCTGTCAACAATGTGTGTGTGTGTGTTTGTGTTTCTGTGAATTATCGCAAGCGACGTAAACGTTAATTAAAATTTGTTAAAACTATAATTAATTTTTCTTTTATTACTAGGACACGTTTTTGAAATTCACAAAATACGTGCGACTAACGTAGAAATAGTTTTGACTTTTAACAAGCCAATATGAAATATAACTGGGTAAGTCTTAAGGACGAATAGTGACGTAATTTTGTTTCCATGTCGCAAAAGCAACAAAAGATGGAAAAGACTAAACGTAGTTCTCTTTGTTGACGGGATAAATTTTTTCTTTTTCTAGTTAGCAATTATTTAATCGGTTCCGTTAGCAAATCGGAATTCGAATGAAATTCTAATTTCTCGTTTACTCGTTCCTTCTGACAATGTCATTCTTAATACTTGAAGCAAAATCACTTGTCGCATCATATTTCTTTATCACATATCATTATTATTGAAGCATCATATACCTTGTGCTCTTGAATAATAGCGTGAAAGTTCAACAGGTATTCCTTCTTTATTTATTTTCTTTATCTTCTTAATGTTCTCGTGGTGTATTATTCTAAGATTAAGGTGAAAAGTTGACTCCCGCGCGTTTATTTAGCATTCATATGGTGGATTTGTCGTAAGAGAATTTTTCTCGTTCCAAGTTGATCTCTATTGTGCTTGACAGACTTAATATTATTTCATGTTGGCGAGATCATAACTTTAAATGGAACTCACCTAAGTACCTCTGTGTAATCATATATTTAAGGGAAACAATCAATGAGCACTGCACTTTGGTGTTCATTGGCACAGGAAATTGAATCGTCCTAAGCTCACTTTGTCACCATCGATGATTCTCTCAATTGAGTTTAGGAGTTCACTGAGTAGTGCCGGCATTACTCAGGATCTGTTCACCCAAAAGAAGAGCATTTAATTGTAATTCCTCGACCCTCAAGAAAAACGTTTGCCTAACTCGAATCAAGCTACCGAAGGAAGCTGAATCGACGGTAAATACTTTTCTCGGATATTCCCGAAGACAATAATTATTGAAAAGAGGTCACACTACGACGTGACCTCTCCAGTCTCCTCTTTAACCAGGGGCTTTAGAGTGGCAATACTCGTTCCCACTGCCATACTCTTTCCACTTTGTAAACTGGAATGACTCGAGGATCGGCTATGGCTCTGACTTCCTGCACCCACTGGAGTTTGGACCAATGGTTGTGGTGGTGTTCTGGCACCGGAACCATTACTACTTGTGGAATTTGGTTGCAATTGCATGTGGTACTTGTAAATGTTTTCTGTACTTTCTACCACACCTGTTGACAAAACATATTTGTTGAATGGGCTTTATCTTTTAATTAATTATTATCATTTGCATAATTGGTAAGACGATATATTTACCGGCTTGCAAGTTCAAACTACGGCCACGAACACCACCTTCCTTAGAAGGTGGACTCCACCAGTTCACCAGTGAACCCACCACCGGTACATGCCTTAGTATCCCTTCCTGCCAGAGTTTCTCAGCATTCTCACGCTCTAGGTCCGTTTGGGCTGCTTCTATACCTCGTTTTACGACTTCCGACATTGTGTCAAGTAACTTTGAACTGGCTTCTACTTCCTGACCCACTTGCAGTACCAAGGACAGTAGCTCTGGCACATCTACGCAGTATGTGTCGTTATTTTCCGTAAAAATGGTTACATTGTTTTTACTTAGAATGAGTTTTACCTGTGTCCTGCGTAACCATTCCAAATCGAACACATGCCAACCCATCAGCACCTTCTCCCAAAGAAAATGCAGCATCCGTACTTCTCAAAGCTTCCACCAGTTGGGTATTTAATCTATTAAGCTCCTCTTTGGCCTGATCAGTCATTACATGCACCCAGGTTGGCGGAGCGTAACGCACTCCACCTAGACCTGCCCATCTTGGCATATCCACCAAATGTAGAGAATCATTCTCGGACACTAACCGTACGAAAGTTTCTTTGTGCTCCACTGTAGCTAGTAATATTTCCTAGACAAAAAAAAAGCATGAAGTTCCCTTAGTCTATTTTTGGAAATTATAGTATTTTTTTCTGTTACAATGTTTCTTACTATTTGCTGCTCTAAACTGGCAATGAGATTGTCAATGTCTTCGGAAGTAGGTGGCTTCTCAGGGTTCTCTAGAGGACATATTCGTATCGCTACACCATGCTGTTCGATTTCACATAGCTCTATCTGCATACTTTCAATGTCCCTTTGGAGTATCTGACCCAGCCAGGAATTGAGTTTGTCATAATAAGGCGGAACCCGTTCAATGGTTTGAGGGTCCCGATCAGCTGGTATAAATTGAAACACTAGGGCACTTGCTACAATTTCAAATACCTGAGGGTTGCTCATAGGATTTGTTAAAAGGTCGTTAATGGTGTAGGACCCATTTTCACCACCAGGAGTTTGACTCTACGATGATGAGTACGCGTTAATAAAAGTATATTATGAACACGTAAGAATTCTAAAAATATATGCCTACCAGAAGTTTGATGCAAGAAAACTTTTTTATTTTATTGTAAAGCTCTTCCACAGCTAAAAAGCATTGTTTGAATCTGTCTTGTATGCCATCGCGTCCTAGAGCCTGCAATGCAGCCCACAATGGCAGTGTTGGCAACCGTCTAGATAATGAATCTGCCATTAAACCAGACACTAATGACAGAGTAGTGTCTCTTGGGGTAGGTCGACCTCCTTTTGTGTCCGTTAACCTATAGAGTGTCTATAAAACTTGTTAAAGAGGTATATAGTCACAAACGAAGACTTTTGAGTTGTGTAAAGTATATCATAAAAGGATACAACTACTGGTAAAGATGGTATACCTAACCAGACACCAAGAGGCAGTGTTATGCTATCTGCTATTTTTGAAGGCTGTAATGATTAGATAAATATACAAGAATCAGTCTCTAAATATTTCACAAATAAATTATAAATATCTGTAATTCTTAAGTGCTATTACCAAATCCTTGGTAGAATTATTTAATGTTAATGCAGCCAATGAATGTCCTCGAAGATGTAACCAGACATTATACTTGTCACAAATTTCACGAAGTCTTGTGATGTTGTCACAGTGCCCTGTTAGAACCGACCCAGCTTCTGCGAGGACTAAGAGTGGTGTGACACTATTTGACTGACTGTCTTCTGCAAGTCGACGTTCTAGAGCTGAAATATCCATGCTATGCCTGGATCCAAACATTGTATTCTGTGGAACCGGTCTAACACAATGCAATGGTAACGAAAGCTGAAAGGCAATAAAATATTATCATGTTAATATATTATAAAGTAATTGCTCTTGTTTCAGTTGTTTCTGAACTCTATCAGGACTTACCTGTCTGCATAAATGTTGCACTACGCCAAGTGGTGCTGCAACTGAGCTATATATAAGTGGTGGAGATGATGTAAGTGCAGTGAAACCTTCTTCAATATATCTAGGATACTTTCTGTGTAAAGCCAACCTGGCTACACGCACCAATCCCTCTAGATGGTCCTCATGGAAAGAGGATGCACAGTCAACAAATCTGAATATATGACTGAGCCATCTAGTTGTATCTGCAGCAAGTCGACCTGCTAACCTCTGAGTATGCGATCTAGGAAGTGCGACAGCATAAGCAGAAACAGAGTGTGCAATCAAGGAAAGCTTAGCTGCATCTGTCAGGAGAGGTACCGCTGTCATTTGACTGGGTGCTGTTTCATTAGAACCATCTTCCAGAGACTGTGGTGCATCTTCATGAATTACTAAGTCCTGTAAATCAAATAATATTTCACAGTGAGTTATCACGTCCTCGCCACTATTTTTGCATGAATTCTGATACAATGATTATATGAATGTGATAACATTGTTATCACTACTGGTATCTACCATTCCATTCTCACACGTATTCTCCCAATTAAATGGTACATTACAAGCGAAGATCATAAAACTAATAAAACTAATGTATCCTTATAGATAACAATATCAATAGCAGATATTGGCAACGATATAAAGTCATGTTCCGACATATCAGCTCTTTTAATTCGTGTCTTTATGGCGCGCAACTTTATCATTACCTGTATTAATAGCACGTGGCGAATAGAAGAAGGATCGCGTGCCACTCCAAGAGAAATAACCAATCAGAAAACTGTATTCGTAACATTTCAGGACAAATCAGATACGACTAATGGCTTCTGCTAGTCATATTTACCTGAATCAAGGCCAAAATTTCTTCAGGATTCTTTGGATGAGATAAAAATCCCGAAGGGTTATTCCAGGTAGTGCCACCTCCATCAGCAGCCCTCTCAACAGCTTCCTCAAGCCGCGAGATAACCTGCGATGCTTGAAATTCAAGTGCACCTACTTCGTTCTCTGCAGACCCATCTCCGGCACTGACCTGTCAAAATCCTTATTAAATCCTCCAATATTTCTCTGTCAACATATCACCTTTCAATCTAATCACTCGTTAATACACCCATGAAATTTCCGAATTATTTTAATATGATTTTCACCAACCTCCAGGATATTTTGCGCTATGTTTTCCATCGCTGCTTCACCGTTTGTATCAGATTCCTCGGCCATCGTGGCAGTAGTCGTGGCGCAGGAGCGTCCCTTACCATCTGCCACACCTCCCCGCATTCTATAATCTACTACCGAACCATAGAGAATTTTTCGAAATTCTTATAGAATAAACTTACATGTCTTTAAAGTTTTTATGGATGCATTAGACAAATTATTTAGTATTATTCTGTACTTTACACTCCTTTTGTTTAATATTTTAATATGTGCCAAAAAAATGATTAGCGCCTTTAATGTACGCACCTTATTTTATCGATATGACTGTGCTGTGCTCAGGCCTGTGAACGATAGAATGGACTTCCCTGATGATTTATGCTTGACGTTTAGACATAATAGGTTAATGTAATAATTTTAATGCATTTTTGACGACAGATGGATGTCTTCATAAATAACAGATTAAAATAAGTTTGGTAGCGGATTTTGGGTATTATAGTATTGTTTATTCTTTTTTTTTTCTATAAACTAGATGATACAACTTGTGTTATGGGCTCTATACAGAGATTAAACTATTTCTACAATACCACCCACTTTTGTAATTGCTTCCTTCAGCTTTTCTGCATCATCTTTACTTAAATCTTCTTTCACCACTACTGGAATACTTTCCACAAACTTCTTAGCCTAAAAAGAATATTTACTGGTTTAAAAAGGAACTGATTGATAATATCGTACATTAAAGAATGAAATATCACCTGCACAAGATTTGTTCCAGGTATAAGATTCTTTATCTCTTTGATGAGAGCAACTTTTTGTCCTTCATCGAACTTTGTAAGCTTTACTGTAAAGGAAGTTTGTACTTGTTTTGGTACAGCTTCTTCTTCATCCTCCTATAAAATTAAGAAATATATTTAATTCTTACCATTTATAACATCCGTCATTTACAATATCCAAGTCCAGGCATTGTATATTCGTATCTGATAAAACTTACTTCAGACTTAGCAGCTACTGCGAAACCTCCTACAGGCATAACAGGCGCATCGGGTAAATTAAGTCGCTTTTTTAGCAAACTGCTAAGTTCTGCAACCTCAATGAGATTCAGAGCAGTAATGTCTTTGGCAATTTTATCAATTTTTTCACTGACAGGCTTGTCCACACCTTCAGGAACAGGAATAGTCATTTGGTCTGCAGATGCAGCGGCAACTACGGTTTCCGCCTGCTGAGAAACAACACTAGAAATAAAAAATAAATTTACTCAAAACCACGCGAATTAAAGGTTATGTAATGCCACAAGCCGGCACCCTGGCATTTTTCTTCCGGAATATTATTCCACAACATGCTGCACCTTACCACTTGTGAATATGCCTCAGTTGAGGTAAACTCTGTCGTACCACGAAGCGAAGAGAATTCATGATTTCTCGTTATAAAACTTGAGACAAAATATTATTAAACGTTAGAAAACCTATCTTCCGCTACAGACAGAAGTGTATGGTAGCGCGGCCAGTACTTATCACTAAACATTAGTTCGGAATTACAAACTTTATTAATGCATAGAATGCAAGTGTTTGCATGTTAATTTATTTTTGATTGAGCTATAGTTGATAATTATAGGAAATGATAAGGGTAATATAAAAACTCTCGAAATTTGATCTACGAGTATTTTAATGAATTAAACTACATTTCCAAGGCGCTAAAAATGTTTTATCGGTAATATATCCTAGTACGTTACAGCAGTTTCCTACGTATCAAGAACAGATATGAGTAGGGAGATGCACAGCGCTACGATCTTAGGTGATACCAAAATCATGACGCTAAATCGTAGCGGCGAGTTTGGAAGTAGGATTTCGTGATCATCGCCTTCGTCGAATGAATTCCGCGTAGCCGAGCTAAACGAGAACAGGAACGCGTAGCTTACAATTAGACCATATATGAGATGCCATCTGTGCGGAAGCCATGAAACTTCAGAGAAGATAGCTGGCGCGGCTGAACTAAGTGGCCTGAGCAGAGATCCTTCTTTCCTTTCCTTATGGCTGCCCCCTCCCGAGCAGAGATGGTCCAAGGCTTGGATCGTATATAATAATATCTTTTGTCGCCACTACTCGTAGCGTAAGTGCTCCAAGGTAAGCGATTGACGATTGGCTGAATAATCCGCAGGAAGAAGACGGAAAAAATTAGGTGATAGAAAAAATAGTGACTCACTGTCAAGTGAGCTAAGTGGGTCCCGTTTCGCTTACTTATCTCTCACATATTTTCCAGTGTTTTCCTTTTGTACGTTTTTTCTTTCTTTCCTCCTAATACAAGAAAAATAACAACCTATACTGCCTCCTTTAAAACAAAGTTATTACAATATCTTTTGGAAATGATGCTCAAAGTAGTAACGTATATTTCATATAAAACATATATATATAGTATATTCAATATGATATTGATATTCTCAGTATTAATGGTTTAAAGATGATATATATATTTTACATACTATTTTAATATTGTATCGTTTGTTGACTAATGTTTTTGAAATTTTGTGATGCCCTTATATTCTTTTATCCTCTGGGAATATTCCAGAATATGAAGAAGTTCCGTTCTTCCTTTTTTCTCCCCTTCGGATCTTCAACACTTTTCTTTCACTATTTCTTCTGCTATTATTTTGATCTAACATAATTTTCTGAAACTACTACGGGTGCTTAACGGTGCCATCTAATGGGATTTTCCAGAACTAACAAAGATGGTACCCCGCGAAAATGCAATCTCAGTTGACAAGTGGATGAGTTAGATCCGTGAAGTTCCGATTTGGAACATGTAGTATCACTATGAGATATTAGAGAGGACGTTAATAACAAACACCAAGGTATCTTGTTGTACATTTCATTTTAAATAATAATAATAATAATATCAAGACGTTCGTTGTTACAAATACAATAGGCGCAGATATGTACAATTACACAATAATATCATTAACGCTATATACAACGGATTTTCGACTTAACCGTACAGCTAATATAAAACTGTATAAAACAATAATCCCGCTTGAAACAGAACACGCTCGAGGATTATTTAAACGTGTCGACGTTAAAGATTGCGCACTCAAAGTATTCTGAGAGATATAGCCATTCGTTGAAAGCGCATTCCACGTTGCATGTAATACTTTGTCATAATTGACGTTGCGACTTGAAGAATACCAACTATAAAAACAACAGGTATTCACTACGGCGGCAAACGTTCGACGATTTCGTTCGTTTGTTATGATTATTATTCATATACCTACGTAAAAAAAAAGCATTGCATCTCGACGTTTTCGTCGAGTGCGCCGTGCTCACGTGCCTAGGAACTCTTCCTGGAGAATATGCTTCTAAAGCCTCTTCCTCCGTTTTCTCTTTTCCTATTAATCTCCCCGACCTTCGAAATTCCCTTTCTCCCATTTTTTATTACAATCTTCTCTCCAGTCACATCGATAACCGCTAACCGTGTTCGAGGAAAAGGAAAAGATCAGGAGACAACGCACTTTTCGGCGTCTTTTTGTGATTGAGAGGACGGTAATCGACGTCTGGCACAGGCCACGGCATCATTTGGCACATAAGATATTCGCACCCCGCCGTAGGCTCTTCTTGGAGGTAGCGCGTACGCCGTAGCTTCATCCGAACTGCTGGAACTGCTGCAGGTCGAGCAGCAACTTTCCTCGTCGTCGGTTCTCACTCGGCTTCCCAGGCCTAATGTAATAATCCGATATTAGATTACATTGCATTGAGACGAAGCAGATGGAGTTCTAAGCGCCATCTAAGAAGCTAATACGACTATATGCAGGTATGGTGCGGTAGGTACGTGGGGTATTGGTTTGAATATAACGAGAGCACGTAAAAGGTCAGTACGGTACCACCACCTTGCGCGTACCTACCTACAGGCATTCGTATTGCATTGAAATCTATAGCAAATACGTTCAGAAGTCAAAGTATACTGACCCCAGGACGAAGTACTGGCAGCTTCTTCAGGTTGAAGACTCCTGGATCGTGGCACACTCGTTCCCGATGGCGGAGTCGTCGTAGCAGATATCGGAACTGACGTAGAGACAGTAGGATCGTCACCCTGAAAGCGTACGCGTCTCGACGTGGGTGTCGGAGGGTCAGGGTGTCCGTTAGGATTCGATAAGGATGCTAATGGTGGAGGCGGTGGTAATTCTGGCATACTCGACGCGTGTGTTGGTGTGCAGCTTGGTGCACATCGCAATGGCTCACGGTCACGTGCTTGCATCAGCCTTCCAAGTTCCGCGGGTGCTTCTTCCGGTAACGAATTCCTCTCTTGGAGGAGTCTCTCAAGATTCCTCTCCAGGAGCACTCTGTCCAGACCACCGGGTCTCGACCCGCCACTCGATAAAGCTTCCCCAGGAAAATCAGCACTCGATGTCCCCTGAGTGGGTGTAGTTGCCACCGAAGCCGCGCTTTGTTGCTTTCTGGGCATCCTCGGGGAGTTCCTTGGTGACCCCAGGGTGTGCCTTGATGCTGGAGGCGGCGGGGGACTCGACGAACCCTCACTGGGTGGCGCTTGTCTTCTACCGCCTCTGTATTATAAAATATTTATTATCAATCTTACATCGTTCCGAATTCTATGAGTGCTCGTGATCTAGTCTAATACCAACCGCGGAAATGTGGGAGGTAAGGGTGGTGGACCTGCAGATGAATCACTCGGTGTCGTAGGAGGCTCTCCTTTGCTACATGCTATACTACAATAAATGGCTCCTCTTCTAGGTAGAAAGGGTCTTCCCAAAAGGGAGGTTCTACAGGTAGCACAACAGAAACAGGCTTCGGTAGCATGCCAATGTTGACCCTCGTGTGACATTTGGCCTTGATCAACACCAATGGGTTCCCCACAGCTGTCACAGTATTCAGCAAAAGACGCGTCGAAGCAGTCAAGACAGTACGGCCTGCCTTCTCTCATAACGTATCTTTGACCACCAAGCTGCACATACAAAATATATAAAACACGTATAAATTATCTGTAACGTCATGAACTTTGGCATCGTCGTAAACGAAAGGAAATTAGTCAAAGCTTGTGTACCTGTCGATCGCATTCAAGGCAGGCAAAGTGTTTCATGTGCCAAGCCCGACCTTCAGCCTCGGTGCACTCGTCAGCCAAAATGATCTCGTCGCAGGCGCAACATCTGGGTTTAAGTGTCTCCGCATGATGGCGTCCGCAATAGAGTCTACCGTCCCTCCAAAAGTAGATAAGATCCACCAAGAGTTGCCGGCAGACGCAACAGATAAAGCAGGCAGGATGCCAAAGTGCAGACGAGCCGGCCCTGCTGGCACCGACAGCCATTTCGCCAGCTGCTACAGGTCGTCCGCACTCGCGACATCCTGACCCGTGAGGACGCTCCAGCTGGCTAACGTGACCCCTGCCGAGGGCCTCGCGCTTTCGCTGACCGGCGAACACCCTGAGCTCCCTCTTCTCTTCCTCGCTAAGGCCACTGCAGTACCTGGCCTCATTGTCATGGGGCGGTAGCTGTTGAAGAAGCTGTTTAACTCGCTCCCGCTCGCCGGCGCTGCCCACATAGGGTATTTTGTCCTCGGACAGGGAACTGAAGTACAGGTGCACCTGGACATTCATTGGGGTTGAGTTAGGTAAGACAGGTGCAGGAAGTACAGGTGTATATTAGCAGGAACAGCATAGCATACTCAACGATCGTTTCTACTAGTACCTGGTCGGGTCTTAGACCTGGTGGTACCCAGGTGTATTCCTCCAGGGCGCATCCGCTGTCGTCGTCGCTTTGCGAATGTCGCTGATGATGAAGCAGCGCGTCTTGAAGAGCTGGGGGTGCCTGCACAGGACTCTTGAACGGCTCGGGATGGGATCCGGGGCCCGGATTGCTTGGGAAGGCCATTGCCATAGCCATTGGTGAGGATGCCTGGCCCAATCCGAGCCCTGAGGATCCTCCGGCCTCCGAGGAGGCACGCTGATGATCCTCACGGGGGCAGCGGCAGCTTCTGCAAACCTTTCTGCAAACAAAAAAATATCATTCAACTAGTTAGCTGGGAATGTTTCTGGTCCAATTAGTATCCCATGGTACTTCGTTAATGGCTATAAATCAAATTGATCGTGATGTTCGTTTATCTTCGATTATTATCTATACAGGGTGTGCTGCGTTATTCGGATATCCTGCCGAAGGTCAAATTCCTCATGGGCAACAAAGTGATAAATCAGAAATGCAAATAAATCGACACATTCAAGCTCATTAAATATCAGACAATTTTCTATTTTTTTTTCCAATGCCTCAATCCGTTAGTAAATTCGATAAACGTAACACGAGCCATTGCATCAACAATTATTTCTAATAAACTTGCAATCCAATATAACTACACTTTAGTACGTTGTATTTGAGCTTTTTTAGTACTGATAGATAAACAAACTCATTACGTCTTAACTGGTCTAAGGCTAAAACTTGACTGACAAAATATTCGTTATAATTGATACTATAAATACGTAGAGATTAAACTATATAAAAACTTCGTCCTAATTCTTGCCTCATATAAATAGCTACGAACGTCAATAACAATATAGACCACCCTGTACACGAGTGTAGTGTTACTCTTCAGGCATATATCGACGATGTTAATATTTCATGCGTTGAAAGTAGGTAGCAAAACCGATGGTGGAAGTACGGAGAATACAAAGAAAAGACGTAAGGTAGAAGAGGCATAAGCAAAATGAAGAAAGTTGATCTAACAAGTGGCACATAAGATTAAATTATAATGCCCGATGAAGTCTTTAAAGAGTCCCATCGCGAGGGTAAGGAATCTTAACGAGAGTAGGGGGTCCCTGCCACGATCTCATTAGGAGGCCCTAGGGCCCACTGTTATAAACTCGAAAATTAATAACCTCAATCAGGTGCACTCAAGGATTTTCGATGCTGCACCCCGGGTGGGTAACGTGCGCTGCATGCGATGCATCAAACGCACGCACCAATGACATGCGCGCTTACTAATCCCACATGCAGTGAGGTAGGCAGTGCAACGTAGTAAAATGAAAATTCAATATTTCAATTTTTTACATTGAATTACGTGTCTCGTATATTTACAAACTGAAATCCCCGTTTCTCCTGTTACCGTCGTGCTTCATGTCGCATACAAAAATCCGCAGTCCCCTTAATGTCTGGAATCCCCCATAGCCAGGGATCAAGGTTCCGTCAAACTTACTCGACGCCATAGCTCGAGTGCAGAAGACTGTCCAGATTGTGTTCGGTGACGCGGATGCCGCCATCGGCACCCTGAAGAAATTCCATGCATTTCTCCGTGGGACTGGCTCTGGGCGTCGAGAGGGCTGGTAGATCCCGAGCGTTGCCGTCGTTTCTATTCCTGAGGAAGGCATCCAGGTAGTGCTCGTCGTTATCGGGCAGGTCGTAAACGACAGCTGTCCAGTTGTCGGACTCGGCATCAACGCCGAGCGTACTTCCCGCGTTGGGATTTTTCCTGGAGTAGAGTTTGCGCAGGTAGGCCTCCTGGTGACCCCTGGTGGCCCAGCAGCCACCCTGCCACCATCTCTTCGAACCGAACAGGCCCGTCTGCCTAGTTCTAGCTAGGCTGGACATTGTCGGCCGTTGTGTTATCTTTATCTCTTTTTTTCTTCTTCTCTCCTGCTCTCGTGTTTCCTGTCACGAAATCATGTCCGACAATTCGCCGGATTATCGGTTATCGGTCGCTGATACGGAGGCGATGCTGATCCTCGGCTCATCGTGATGGAGGTGCCCCGTGTAACCAGGAAGCCACGGCCTTACATACTACGTATTATGTAGAACCAGTAGTAGAGTGAAGATTAACATATTAATACAGCTTGCATCTGGGGCCTTAAAGACAGCCACTCAGAGAGATAAGGAATCTAACCCGCGTAGGGCCCCGCCGAAGCGCTTATTAAAGATTATCTTTCACTGCCCTCTCGCTTCGTCCTCTCTTGGTCATTCTCTCTTCTTCTCATTCCCTTTGCCCCGTCGATTTTCTCCTCTTCGTTTTGCTCCTCGCGTCTCTCCTATCTCGCGCAGATTTGTCGCTTCATCAATTTTCCTCACGATTACGCCGCTCGATCACACCGTGAAGTATGCACGATTCGATGATAAATACGCGTGCGAAGGTATATCGATATTTCTCGAATAGCCGCAATCGATTTTCTTCGGCACCACAAATAGTCAACGTGCAAATTATTCGATCTGCAAATATTTTACGCACGTCAAATTTCAAAGTCCGATTTGAGAGGCCACGAAAAAAAAATAAGGAAAAAAAAAAACACTAAATCAATCATTAAAAAAAAAAATAGCACATGTCAAACTGACAATCTTTTCCCACTTTTTGGTTGATCGCGTAATTCTGCGATTTTGCGGCAAACCTCATGGATAACGCTTTGCGAAATTCATAGAGCACTCGCGCACTCGCAGTGTTTCTCGAAGAAATCCAAAATTGCCGGGCGCGATAGGAATGTGCAAAAAAATGGCGAAACGAGTAGGCGCGTATTTCTGGATACGGCGAGTACTCCAATCACACACAGATATACTGGCGCGCACACGCACGGTTGATGCACAGGGAGACACATGCGGAAAGTATGTAGAGTAATAATATATCGGGGATTGCCGAGGCTGCGCGGCGAGTACTGAGAGTCGAGCGTGTTGCTCTCGGAGTTTCTGCCCGTGGAAGAAGTGGGAAGAAAGAGAGAGAGAGAGAGAGAGAGAGAGAGAGAGAGTGCAAGGGAGAGAAGTGGTGAACAGGAGAGAGAATACGGGAATGGGGACCAATGGGGCCTTGTTGGGGCCTTAGCGGGTTCCGTAGTGTATTGGTGCGTGCGTGCGCAGTGAGAGGAAGGTACGTCCCAAGTGAGACACACTCACGCACCCTTCCACTCTCCTTCGCTTTACCCGATATATTTATATTCGTTTCTAATACGTGTGGCGTGTCGGGGCCCGACGCCTCTCCCTTGGGCCCCAAACGCGTGTGCTGCGCGCGCGTGTGCGACGCACAGTCCACGTCTGTGTTGCGTCCCTGCTGCGGGGCCTCAAGGCACAGACAGTCCGTTTCCGACTCTCTCCCTCTCGACTACAACTTCTATTACGAGTCATCCATCGACTATGTCCTTTTTTCCATTCGGCCTGCGAAATATTTCCTAACCCTAACCTAACTCGACGAAGAATACGATATTGTCTTTTACGTTCTTGCGAGTATTTTTTTTCAATCTTTTGTTCGAAATCTACCTCCATTTACCACGTTAATGGGTACTATGGGTATTTACTATGGCTCGGGAATTTCCGTGGCCATCTTGCGAACGCTCGTGCAGCCCGTGTTTTGTGCGAAGGAAAACTGGGCCGGAACGCCTTGCTCTCGGGGCCCAGAAGTAGTTTAGAGTGCCGGAGAGCGCACCTACTGCACACCATCTAGAGACAGATGTCACGCGATAGTTTCGAGAGCAGGGCCCTGCCTTCACTTCGCTATACATACACGCCTCTACCATTACGAGAATCCCGTCGAACTTACGCGTTCACACATGCGAGTCACTTCCCACGGAAGGTCATTAACGACTTCCCGGGGCCCGTTTTGTCGACGGAAAAGACGCCTCGCCGTGGGGACATCGCGTGTTCGCGGGTACTTTGAGAAAATTAGAGGCGTCAAGAATTTGCACAGGGCAAGATGAAGAAGGGAAGGGGCGATCAAAGAAAAAACATTACCAAACGTTGATGCTCGCAGAATACTTCAAAAGAATTCCTTCGAGCGTGGTGAGGTAAAATAAAAAATATATTTTTTTTATCAATGATAATGCAGATTAGGAATAAAAATAATAATAAAACCACTACCCGAGTACCCAACGAAGATGGTAAGAAAAAACGGAGCTTCGAGAGATGAAAAAAAAAAAAAAGATTTAAAAAAGAAACAAGAGAAAAAGAAAGACAGGAAATCTTTCAATATTTGTAGAGTGGTAAGCGTGGCTCTTGAAGTGTCCTCGGACTCTTTTTCACGATTGCCGTCCTAGGTTTTCTTCGAGTCCACCAACGCTCCTCTCGAACTCCCTGGTAGAGGAGGACGCTACCGCCTGCTGGTAGCTACGTACTACAGCACGTGCACGTATACACAGATGGTACCACGTATTACGTACGTACACCAGAGACTCATGGGAATACTAAAGCCTTGGCAAACAGTCGATGCGAGACTTCTGCCTTTTGCAGATTGTTGACTTTAACTCGAACGCGCTTCGAGAGTCCACGCTTTGCGTTACGCAGAGTGAGAGAGCGAGCGAGAGTGGGAAGGAGAGCGAACCCTACCCTTTCGTGCCTATATACTCTACGCCTCATCGTCCTATCCTCTACCCTCTTGTGGGTTAACTCCCCTCTCGATTATAAGGGTCAACGTTTGGTACCGGACATTGTTGACGTTCGGCGTTGCGTATAACCACTGGCGTTGCATAATAAAGTAGAAAAACGTGAAGTTGAATGAAAGTGGAAAGAAAAAAAATATATGGGTGAGATAAAAGGTTACCTTTTTTTTTAACAAGAATAAACTTGGACGGAATCGGTCTCAAAAGTGTAAATTTTTTAAATACCGCCGAACAACGTACTCCAGGTGCAACGAGTGGCGAATCGAGGGTCGATCAAAAATCTAGGTACGTACTGGTGAGATCAGAAGACCACTTGTATAAAAAGATGTAAAACGTAATAAAAAGAAAGACGACACGATTCAGAAGGGAATTATGCAGATTGCAGGCTTGGGTCTGATGGGGCCTGATGGGACTGGGGGACTACGTGATGGAGCCACGACGTGCCGGGCATATATCGGTACTACAGGGAATACCGTACGCTATACGGAGACTAGAGAGATCGTCGTATAGAGGATATTTAATAAAGTGTCACGTAAACAATTGTAAATAGGTTCGGTACTAATTTCTTGGTGCATTCCTGTTCAGGGTCCCGGAAAGATGGATATACCAGTGTTCGATAGAAGAAAAAAGGAAGATATCTTTCCAGAGGACAGTTAATAAAGATAAAGATAAATAATACACGTAATGAACGATAAGGCCCGTTCGATTGTCGGTGAAATGACGCTGTGAAAAATGAAATAAGAGGAAAGGAGAGGGTAGAGGAAAAAAGGATTATATCGGTATGTATGTCCTGGTCGTCGGTACTTTTCTAGTACCCCCGACCGATTCCTGAGGCCCCCGGGGCACCGAAGGCCCCAAAGGCCTCTCCTCCCATTTACTCCCATAGCAAACGGACAGCCTACATACTTCTGTCCGGCGTGCAAGTCATTCCGTGTGAGGCCCCGCAGGAAACATAGAGGGGTGAGAGAAGCCGTTCTATACTTTTTCCTGCCCTCTCTCCGTATCTCCTGCACGTATATAATACCCACGTGAACCTTGGAGCGGGATCATTTCATCCCCACTTTATACTCATCATCCCACCATTCCCATCATTCTGACATTGCTGATCCATATTTAATGACAGTCAATGTCCCCTTCTCTCGCGATAGTTATCTGGTTACTTGGATATATCAGGCTTAAGCGTTCATTACGTACGTGCCCGGCGGTCCTCAGTGCGGTAAGGCCCCAAATGAAATTCCTCTGAAAATCCTCTTGTTAATTCAAAATTGAAAATTGATCATGAAGTAATTCCAGTTTCCTTAACGATCGCAGGAGCGCAAAACCCAGGTGCCTCCGAGCAATGAATACTGACAGTGCTATCGTTTCTTGTGGGTCCTGACAGCAGCGTTATACCAAGACGGGCCCTATATCGACGTGACGCCATTACTACGGATTCCCAGTGACTATTTTCATTCGAGGAAGATGCCTTCACACTGATTTGCACGCACATTCACGATCCGGTTTACCTATCTTGTCCAATAAACATCACTCGCCCATTACCCAGTCGCCATTTCTGAACGCAAGGAATGCCGGGAGTAACAAATCCACGCTGAGCATTGTGGGAGTTTACGGAACCAGTGTTAGAATACCTCTGGGCCTTGTTCGAATTCTCGTAATAAAAAAAACGGACAAAATTAAAAAATCTAATTGGAAACGGCGGGTGGTCTTTTTCGGCCCCACTCCGGCTCACGAATTTATTTCAACCATGCTTTTATCCAATCCCCTTTTTTATTCATTGCTTATTCATTTTTTATCCCTCTCTCTCGCTCTCTTTTCAGCTACTTATTTTCTTTGTAAACTCCTTGTCCTCGTAGAGGTCCTCCGGGTGAACATATACCGTATCTTCTTTGAGAGTAACTGGCGACCTCGGTGTGTATCAACGTCCAAGAGAGAATAAGCCAGCGGAAGTCCCTAGCCTGGTAATTAGCTTTTTATGTCCCATCACGAGGCCCCTTTTCTCCATATCCTCCGCCACCTGCATACGAGTTGACATCGTGTAAAATCATCGCCACAGGCATCCCCGACCGCGATGATCTCGGATTTCTACGGTATTTCCGGTACTTTTGCGTCCATTTTGTAATTTGCGGTCGACGGGGTGGTAATCGTTCCTTTTGGAAGTCTTACAAAACGATAATGGCCGTGGAGTGAAAACGCTTCAAACTTTATGATTCTAGAGCGAGTAGATTTCCGAGGCCCAGTTTTCGTTTACGGATTAGAAACCTACAGTAACGTGCCTTACCCAAGCATTCTACCAAATTCTAGATGGAGTTTCGGGTGAGTTCCTAAGGCACTCGGGACTCGTTACCCTTCGAGAAAAATAAGAGTGGCAATTAGGCTCCTTTATTTTGGGACCGAGAGGAGCAAGCAGCAGCGCAGGGTGGGACTGAGGGAACGAACACGAAGAGCGAAAAGGAGAAGAAGGTAAGAGTAGCGGAGGAGAGTGAGTCCAGGTAGCGAGAAGCAGCTCCGAGACTATAATTTAGAGAAAAATGTTGGTCGGGCCCCTGAGGGCCCCACTTTTCATAGAGGCCCCAATACTGATACAACCACCGTCCTCGCGCATTATACCACCGCTCCCCGGTTATAAAACCGCGTTACTTCTTTCCCTCGACATGTTAACGTGCAACGCGATTACCACCTTTACGACGAGATACCGAACTCAAAAACGACTGGGACTCGACGGAGGACTGAAGTTTCACTTAATAAATAAGGAAGATTCGTATATAGTAAACGCATGCAGAAATATTTCTCAAGGAATGCAAAACCGAAGAAAGGATGAATTTTCAGTCTGCTAACGGCAATCGCGGCATGAGAAATCGTGGAGACGAAAAGGAAAAGAATAAAGAGAAGAAGTAAAAGGGACGGAGGATGAGAGGAGACAAAGGATAAAGATCGTAACAGACTGCGAGCAAGAAGGATAAGAATAAAAGAAGCCCTGTAATCGTAGGTTTATGGCTGACGAAGCTAGACCCCGCGTAGACTCATCAGTGAACGTTGATGGGAGTCTCATATAAGCCGCAATGGTTCACGGTGCACCATGGCTCAAGCAATGGCCACCGCCATAACGTCACACTACAGCAGGGACATTCTCGGCATCGATTCAGCGCGCTTAAAGCCTCGCATAAAGATTAACTTGACACCCGCTGTTCGGCAGGCCTCCCTTGCCAGCAGATTATCTCTACATTCCGAATTCGTTTGTGCCTGCCCACCTTAGTTTTCTACCTTCCTATCTGCCTCTCTACCTTCCTGCCTATCTTGCATGCCTATACCTACATTACTACACGTCTCTCCTCTCTCTCTCTCTCTCTCGCTCACTCTCGGACAGTCTACATTCTCTGAGTGACTACGTGACTACAGCCGTGACTGAATCATCTTGGTCTTCATCTAAATGATCTTCAAAGTCTTTACCGATTGAAAAAAAAGGACGGACATACGTAGAGGAGAAGGTCAAAGGAGAGGGAGAATAATAGGAACGAATCGACTTGCGGGAAGAGAGAAAAGCGTTTTGCCCCTCCGACGAGGATTGATTCCACGAGACATCGTGCGCTTGTGAGAACTCGCCCTGCCTGCCCTTCGTACCGCCGTTTTTCAGGCCCTTAAACGCAGGAGTCCGCTCGAAGTGCCCTTCACGAATTATGGCTCCCAACTTTTCTCTTCCGGCGAGGTACCAAGATAACATCTTATACCAGCAGTAATTTAGAGGTTATAATACGCAATCTAATGGTTCGGGCGACCCGAATGTGTCTTTGATCTTCATGAATTTTCACCAAACAAATTATCTTATGTTAAATTCAGGGAATTCCTAAACGAAATGGAGATCGTGGTATAATGTAAATACGTACGAGAAAAAAAGATATATATAAGAAAAGCGGAACATGTAAGGTCGTATTTTGTGAATTCGATCGAATGTAAACGATGAAACGGGACGGAGTGGTGGAACGGAAGGGGGGTGGGCGAGGGGAAGGGACATGCCTCGCATCGATATTCAGGAATTCAAGATGGCCATCGCCTTCATACGAATCCCAAAGCCATTCCTAATTTGTTTCGAGGATTAGTAGACGGAGATTCGTTCGCCCGGAGCGCGAGTCAGCCTCACGAGAGTATATCTAATTTAGAAATTATTCAGGAGTCACGCGCTCCCACGGATAATTCGAGTATAGAGAGGGAAAAAGGAGGGAGTAAAAAAGGTAGAGGGAGAGAGATGCGTATGGAGGAAAAGTCAAAATACGAGAAAAAAAATATATATATTGTATAGGGTTGCGTGTCCAATGGATGTGTATATAGTGACCCTTAATAAGGATGGAATGGCAAGAAACGATATCGCCGACTCGTTAGATTAGAAACAATGACCATCAGAAATGCCTTTTAAGGGCCGCTAACTATCGACCTTTACGATTCTACTAGCGTTAACTGGGAGTGCCTTATAATGTTAATGAAATCGTTAGAGACATCACGCGTTATTGTAGCGTCATGTGTACAGAATTGGACGAGTGGATGTTTATTTCAATTTATTTTTTTTCTCGTCTCTAATAAAATAATAAGTTCAAAATAACATTCGCTGCTTACCAGAGTACAGGAAACATCGAACTTACTGGGATTTCGTATGTATATGCGCAACAGGGCAAGGCAAAGTAAATTCTCGGTGAAAATGGGGTGCAAGGTCCAGACGCATTACTATCAATTAAAAGGGCCGTTTATAAAGGGCCACAGGGAGGATGCCCAAGAAGCTGGTAATCCTTAGTAAAAGGTTAGGTTAGAATAGGTACCAGAAGAGGTGTATGCTAATGTTACTAATACCAGGAGCCCTTGATAACGTCGTTATACTTGAGGATCGGTAGGATTCTGAGTGAGGTAGCTGCTGCACGGGGGCTTCGGTAGGACACTTGTACGCGTGAATATAGGGTGTCGTAAAGGAGAAAGAATATTTTTTTTTTAATATCGAAAAAAAAAAAAACGTAGATTGAAGTAGTAATTAAATGAAAGAGGAAAACAAAACAAATTATTTTACGGAACGTATATAAAAAAAAAGTTTACAAATAAAAACTAAAAATAATTAAAAACGGATAACTACACATAACGTTAACGCGTGAGCATGCGGAATGAGATTTGTTACCCGTACAGAGACCCCCGTAAGGATTTCTCCATCGATCTTCGGCTTGTTTATGGTGCTTTAGAAGATGAGGCCAATCCTAAGAGAAACTAGGCGGACATGTATAATGCCGTGTTTAATGGCTCGTAAGGCCCGTTTATCGTCGAGCTCCAAACATTTTGGGACCTTACAAGTTGGATTACCAGACACCGTATATATATATTGGAGTACGTATATAAGGATCTCGCACGGGTTGAGCTACGCCTATAGATCTGCTCGTTGCTCGTATTTCTACGCTTGACTTTCTAAGGGGCTAGTTTCCCGCCGAGGGGTGTCTTCCGCCAAAGTTGACTCGTGATGGTATTATCTGATAAGCCCGAGTAACCCCCTTGTAGAGCATCCCCTTGCACATCGGACAAACTTGGGAATCCCCGTAGTGTCGATAATAATAAAAATAGCGGTCGACAAAAATCCACAAGAACCAACCCTTAATGCTTCGTTTGTTCGACTTTCGTGACTTCTCGAAAGTTTACGAGTCCGACCATCCACCTTCCAGTGTCTCCGCCAGAAGACGCCCCCCCCCCCTCTCCCCCCGGGTCGACATATCTTCTAGGGATAGGGGGTGAAGCGAAAATGTCTCGACATCTGCTGCAACGCGTCCTTCGTACCCTCCCCGCGATCCCTTAGGGAAAATTATTAATCCCGTCAGAAATAGTAAATCATATACGCGGGGCTGGCACCAGCCAGCCGTTGTGCGACAGAAATTCACGACGGGGTGAAAATTTCCACGGTCTCCGCCACCGCGCCGTCACGGCCCTGTCCTCGCTCTCTGATTTAGCGTCTTTGCTCTTCAACCCTTGCACCTCCAGGGGCGCCACCCTCGCAGACACCTCCTTCGTCCAATCGTCCCGTCCAATCTCTGTGCCGGACGAGACTTACAGCCGACGGGGGGTGCGAATGACGTCAGTGGATTTATATCGTGTAAAAATTCGGAGTGGTCCACGAGGGATGATGGATGGATGGGGGTGCGAGAGATAAAAGAAATCCATTGAGATAGCGGCAGGAAATTAAATCTGAAAATTCTAAACCGGCATACGTGCCCATGCATACGCGTAGGTGGTTTCTCGCGCGTTCACTCGTTCACATATGTGTAATACTCGACAGGACATTGACCAATGGCGTCGAGATATCCCATGGTGTTTTATGGTGTAATCACGAAGGACGGTGAAAGTCGGTGAATTTGCGTTCCATATGAGGATAACGTTACTCCGGAGCTCGAGGAATGATTAACCATATCGAGTAAGCCGTAAGAGTTCGAATTAAGGAATCCACCTTAGGATTTTAGTAGTAGCCGCATACCGGGGGATCCATAAATTTGTCATTATTATATTGGCTGTCGTAAAGGACACGAGTAACGTCCGATTTAAAGATGCGTCACGGAACAAGGTGGTATAAATGTACCGGGTGACGCAATGCATGAATTAATTATATCAGCCTACGGGAACAGTCATGTACGCATAGTGGTTAC